AGCAGTGAAAGTTAACATTATGTTTTCGAATAACATCCCCAAGAGGTAAAATATATAGTGAAAACAATAGTGGTCCTAAAACGGAACCTTGAGGAACACCGAAATGTACAGTTGATTTGTCGGAGGACAGACCATTCACAGAGACAAACTGATATCTTTCCGACAGGTAGGATCTAAACCAGGCCAGAACTTGTCCGTGTAGACCAATTTGGGTTTCCAGTCTCTCCAAAAGAATGTGGTGATCGATGGTGTCAAAGGCAGCACTAAGGTCTAGTAGCACGAGGACAGATGCAGAGCCTCGGTCTGACGCCATTAAAAGGTCATTTACCACCTTCACAAGTGCAGTCTCATGCTATAGGGGTCTCAACTGAAGCATTTCGTAACATTGTTGTTTCAAAAGTGAGTTGCTGCGCAACGCTTTCTAAATTTTGAAGATGGAAATTCGTAGGCGATAGTTTTTTATTTTTCCGGGTCAGGTTGGTCAAGAAGAGCTTATCCTGCCACTTTAGTGAGTTTGGTCACATCGGTGATAGGAGCTGTTTATTATGTAAATGGGGTATAGGGTGCCTTACCCCGGTAGAAGATTAGCATAGGTTTACACCACAATATGTCCGTGTAGCTCAGATGGTAGAGCCACATGCGCTGCAACGCCAGGGTTGTGGGTTTGACATTCCCATGGGGGCCAGTATGAAAAAAATGTATTGCACTCACTAACTGTAAGGGCGCACTGGATAGACAGCGTCTGCTAAATGACTATAAATGTAAAAAATATGTAAAATGTGTGTTAAAATCCAATTAATCCGTTTTATTTAGTAAGTAATACTTAAAAGCTAAGTCTAGTTGTCTTATTTTACTCATTTAAATAAAATATGGGGGGAAATGGTGTTGCATATGTCACCATTAATATCCGCACTATGAGGAGATTTGATGTAAAGTCCCTCTTTTTAACTCTCCTGCACATTAAGTTTCTTTGTTCTTTTTTTGTTGTTCCTTTTCCATACCATCCATTATGTACAATTGCACTAAATATTTTTTGAATAATGCAATATTTTAAATCCCAGCAGTCTTCAAAATGACATTCAGGAGCAAAAGGTTTTTAATAGTTGTTTTTAATTCATGAAAAAAGAAATTCATTGGAATATAATATTGGAATGGAATATAACTAATAACATTAAACATCATAGGAATATAACATTTAATAACAATAACTTAACTAATTAATTCAGTGTTACATTGACGTGGCAACTCTCTTATGCTCTGCTATTGCACGATTCTAATTTGTACATAGGTCACAAATAAAGCTATCCATAGAAAAATTGGAGCATAACTCATGAGCCCACCTCCTGCACTGCTCACACCTAATCCAGTCCCCAACTGTGACTGACAACAGGGGGAGAGATGCCAATTGAAAAGCTCTCTCTTAAAAATGTAGCTAGCTATCTAGCTATATTACATAAAATGCTGTGTAAAATAGCTAAAAGGCTATAAAGTAACATTAACTGTAAATCAGTCACTAGTGGTAACATTTACAACTGCAATTAAGTTAAGTTATCTTTTTAATGTATTTTACCTCAGACGATCTGGTAGTAAGGTTGCTAGCTAGCACTCCTAGCCGCTTATGCTAACTAGCTAGCTGGCTAGCATTTACTTTACAAGTGGTCCTCTGTAGCTCAATTGGTAGAGCATGGCGCTTGTAACGCCAAGGTAGTGGGTTCGATCCCCGGGACCACCCATACGTAAAAAATGTATGCACACATGACTGTAAGTCGCTTTGGATAAAAGCATCTGCTAAATGGCATATTATTATTATAAGTTGCTAGCTAGCAAATTAGCATAAACTAGCACTAACGGAGCTAGTCATTGTTTAAATGACAGGTACAAACACATTCATAACCATAAAGGGGTAACTAGCCCACAGGGGCCAGTTACTCCCTAGTAGGGGGGGGGGGCAGTTGCCCCCAACACACTCATCCAAAATATTACCACTTTACTCAACGATTATCTACATTTTTCTCTCTAAACAAGTGGATTATTTATTTTTAGGCTTTCCTACTTGTATATTTAAAAATCAATTATAGATCTAACTTCATTGGAATATATCTAAAACGTAAAAATTAGGGGGGGTGGCAGTTACCCCCAGGTGGCTAGTTACCCCCTAGTACCCTATTATGTCTAGATTAAAGTACATATATAAAACTATTATTCAGTGTAAAGAGATTCCAAACCAGCTATTTTTCAATAAAATAATTTAGTTATTACAAATTCAAAGACGGTGATTTTACAGTAGTCTATTTGAGACGCACATTCAATCTGATTTGACTTGAAAGACTTTGAAGTGCTATCTGATCATCAGGTATGCCAATTACAAATGATAACTTTTGTAATTGATATGCAAATCGATAGCCTTTGCATGCAGTCGAAGAAAAGTTGACATGTCTCCCACCCCACCTATGACCACTATTATCATGATGCATAATATGTATTATTATCGAATTGATAGGCCTATTCAGTTGTGTGTACTCTTCAGTTGTGTGTACTCTGTGGCAGTTGGGAGCAGTGCGCATTGTGCATACTCTCTAGCTTCACACAGTCGCGCGTGATGAAGAGGAGGCAGAGTTTCCTCAACGTAGGTAGCGGGCGTATGAAGCCCGACCAGCAAAAACAGCTTTGAACCGGTTTGTTCTCCGGCAAACAAGCGGTATAAAACGGATTCTGTGCGCGTAGCTGCTGCTGGCACACCGGTCTGCTCACACCTCAGATAAAGCCTTGCGGAAGCTCGGCATCTGCATGTGATGTTTTTAAAATATTTTTTGTAATTCAATTTCGATTCTATACAAAGAGTTATTATAGGGAGACCATCCTTCATGGCAACTCCCTGTAGCGAACGCGCACTTATCCTGCAGTTGCCTGTTGTTGTGCATGTGGCTGTTGTTGATGTTGAGGTAAGTCGCATGTATTTCCTAGTGTTAGTAAAATAACAATAGGCTACTATATCACAACATTATAGCATAGCAGGCCTATGGCTAGATACAGAATTATATATTTTGTTGGCTATGTGTAATTGGTGATTAAGTGCCAAAAAAAGGAAATTGTAAAGTGGTTATCCCACTGGCTATAGGGTGAATGCACCAATTTGTAAGTCGCCTGGATAAGAGCGTCTGCTAAATTACGTAAATGTAAATGTAAATGAATAGCCTATCAGTGTAGTTCCTTTGTTGCAGATGCTGATAAAACCCATATTGTTTCATAAAGAAAAATTGGTAGCTACACTACATGACCAAAATAATGTGGTCACCTGATCGTCGAACATCTCATTCCAAAATCATGGGCATTCAAATGGAGTTGGTCCCCCCTTTGCTGCTATAACAGCCTCCACTCTTCTGGGAAGGTTTTCCATTAGATGTTGGAAGATTGCTACGGGGACTTGCTTCCATTCAGCCACATGAGCATTAGTGAGGTCGGGCACTGAAGTTGGGCAATTAGGTCTGGCTCGCAGTCGGCATTCCAATTCATCCCAAAGGTGTTCGATGGGGTTGAGGTCAGGGCTCTGTGCAGGCCAGTCAAGTTCTTCCACGCCGATCTCAACAAAACATTTCTGTATGCATTCTGTATGCACCTCCCTTTGTGCACGGGGGCATTGTAATGCTGAAACAGGAAAGGGCCTTCCCCAAACTGTTGCCACAAAGTTGGATGCACAGAATTGTCTAGCATGTCATTGTATGCTGTAGCATTAAGATTTCCCTTCACTGGAACTAAGGGGCCTAGCCCCTTAGTGAAAAACAGCCCCAGACCATTATTCGTCCTCCACCAAACTTTACAGTTGGCACTATGCATTGGGGCAGGTGGCGTTCTCCTGGCATCAGCCAAAGCCAGATTCGTCCGTCGGACTGCCAGATGGTGAAGCGTGATTCATCACTCCAGAGAACGCGTTTCCACTGCTCCAGAGTCTAATGTCGGTGAGCTTTACACCACTCCAGTCGACGCTTGGCATTGCACATGGTGATTTTAGGCTTGTGTGTGGCTGCTTAGCCATGGAAACCGTTCTGTGAGCTTGTGTGGCCTACCACTTCGCGGCTGAGTCGGTTGTTGCTCCTAGACGTTTCCACTTCACCATAACAGCACTTAGTTGACCAGGGCAGAATTTGACGAACTGACTTGTTGGAAAGGTGGCATCCTATGACGGTGCCACATTGAAAGTCACTGAGCTCTTCAGTAAGGCCATTCTACTGCCAATGTTTGTCTATGGAGATTGCATGGCTGTGTGCTCGATTTTATACACCTGTCAGCAACGGGTGTGGCAGAAATCGCCAAATCCACTCATTTGAAGGGGTGTCCACATACTTTTGTATATATAGTGTATGTGTAGATGGCACAGTGTTTCTCCATATAATAGTGTTTAGCCTACCCGCAAATTGATAGATGCACAACTTTTGCTTTTAAAAACTAAGAGGGATAGAAGAGCGGATGCTGCAGTAGTGCACCTATAGCTCAAATTGCTCTCAGGCACAAATTACTCAGGAACAGTGCATTTTTTTTGTTTTTTGTTTTTTCTTCTTGTTAGCACTGGAAAGGGTGTGCCTGTAAAAGTTCAGTGTTTCGTGCCAGAACCGAGGGGAGATAGGCAAAAGGCAGGTTAAAGTACAAGGTAGGCAGTCCAGACTCCAAACTCTCCTCCTTCAAGGTGTGGTCTGTGTGAGGGCACAAAATGGGCAGCGCAGGATGAGAGGGTTGCACTCTGTTTTAAACAGGTGACCTGCCAGGCAAGAGCAGCATCAACATCAAGATGTGAGTGTGTATTTGGCATTTATCTACAACTTTAGAAAGGAACTTAGGACATTTATCACTTCGTTAATCATGATTCATGTCTCCAAACTTGCTTGTGATTTATTTTGTCTGTATTCTCATGCATTTGTGTCGTTGCTTGTCCAGTCCACCTGTGCTTTTAACACTTTTTGCTTTTTTCCCCCCGGTTTTCCCCAGGAACCCTCCCTGTTGACAGCATGAGTCTTCAGAACTCAAAGAATGTGCTGGATGGAGGTTGGGGATGGGTCATTGTTGTGGCCTGCTTTGTGGCCCAGTTCCTGGCCTACGGCTCCCCCCAGTCGGTGGGCGTCCTGTACCCGGAGTGGCTCCACGCCTTCCAGGAGGGGAAAGGCATGACAGCCTGGGTTGGCTCCCTGGTCTCTGGAGTGGGACTCATAGCCAGTAAGTATTCTCCAAACACCTTTGTTTATTTATTTAGATACTGTGTGGGTATAGTCTAATGCTCTCATCCAAAGACAGGGGATACCTTCAGAGCTCACTGGTCTGTGATTTTACCCATAATGCCACCATTGTTGTATGTGTTTATAGATTTTGTATGTTACAAAAAAATCTACGAACTATTTTATAACAAAAATGTATTCAACTCAGCATCTGAACATCTGTTCAAGAATTCCATGTAGATTTTCTTGGCATGGCTTTGAATTGATATGCTAAACAGCATGTCAGTGGTTATACCTGAATTTACTTATCAATGCACTTTAGTTGCAGCTACATTGTCTTGAAATTAGTCTCACCTGGTATGCACGTCTGACACGTGTTGCTGTTGTATAATTAATGAGCAACTGAAGGCAAACAACTTCTCTGGTAGAAAACGGCCTATGGGGCATCGATATTAGGCAGAAACATTTATTCTGGTGTCAAAATTGACTACAAAGTGTAAATAGGATAATTTTGGTCAGCAGAGTGAAAGTACAAACACTTGCCACGTTCGAACACACACGAGACACCCACAGCAAAGCACGCCTCCAAGACCCAAATCTCGTTCTTGGTCGCATGTTCTGAGGAGAACTGAAACCGAGGCTAAATCAGAAAGTTCCCTTTAATGATGTCACTGATAAAGTACCAGACAAAAGAATGGTCCAACGTCTCTATAAACACATACAATGATGGTGGCATTATAGGTAAAGACACAGACCAATTGTTATCTTGCCAAGTAATCTTGTTTGGAGGGCAGAGTTGCACATGATAAGACGGGAAAATACGTAATTTACCTAGGACATATCAACAGCTGTGAAAGTGCAGTGCTGACTTTGTCTGACTTGTCCTAAGTAGATGAAGGGAATTGTGCAATATGGATGCACTTTGTGGTGCTGTTAACACTAAGTTGTGGTCACAAGTCAGCCCGGTCATAATTGCAGGAGGAGCACTTAGCTATGATCACACTGTCTGTGTCTGTCTGTCTGTGTCTGTGTCTCTGTGAAAATGGGGATGACAGAGAAAAATAGGGAGGTTGATAAAACATTTAACAGTTTCAGTCGTTTGAATGACCAGGGACACAGGAGGACTCAGTTCACTGCATGGCTGCAAGCAAGCTGTATTAAAGTTGCATTCAATTATTTTGCTAAAACTGGATCCGAGATAGTAGATCATGATCTTGCTTTACCGCCAGGCTAAGCCTCCCTTCACGTCGTTGCCTTTCCAAAGAGGTCAGTGAAAAGTAATGACTAGACGGATGGCTCCAAGTACACGTGTGGGGCTTGGCAGCTAGGCTATGCAGGCTTAAACCATGGACTCTTTTAATTGGTGGTGAAATGGAAGGGAGGGGGAGATAGGGTTCAACAGGACACCCTCGGGTTGTCAGTTGTCTGCTCAGGAATTCAATGTGTCAGCACAAGAAGTAGAGTTTGACTCTGCTGAAACAAGTTGTCAATTTAATGTGCATAAGACACAAGGACCTATACAAATTGCAGTGTATATCATTGGAAGCTAATCGGATTGGGCTGCATTTGACTTGGCGGGATGCTAGGGAAACATAGCAGTCTTTAATAAATTGGCAGCAGATTATGGGTTAGTGAGGTGATCTTCCAAAACTTGGCCCAAGTCCTTGCTTCTGTCCACTGAAGGATCCAATTTGTCCTAACCAGACCTGTATTTCCATTGTTTGAAATGCACACCGTCCCCCTAAAAAGTCCATCAATCAGGATATGTGGTCCCATTTGCCATAAATATATATATTCCTGTAACTCCGTGTGCTTTTAAATTTGTTATGCTGTGAGGATGATGACGAATGAGCATCAAACGCTGTCCTTTTCCCTGACCCTTAACCTCTGCTCAGGTGTCTAATAACTAGCTAGTGCCACTTTTAGGCCTCAGGGGAAATGTGAGGACAGCAAATGGAGTCACAAACCTAGCCAACAACACGCTTAAGGCAGAGGCTAAAGAGCACAGATGAACCCTCTTAAATAGGGAATGATAAAAAAGTGAAAATTATAAGGTCAAAATAATATCAGTGCAGAAAAGGGGACCATGTCACATGGTTAGAGTTGATACAGTAAATAATGTTTTCCTGCCATGAAATAACCCCACATGTACAGTACACCTTGACTGGTATCACTTTCCGTTTGGTTAGTTTAGTATTGTTTAGTAAATCCATCTTGTTTACACCACATGGATCCTGAAAGCACCATATAAATTCCATCTTGTTTACACCACATGGATCCTGAAAGCACCATATAAATTCCATCTTGTTTACACCACATGGATCCTGAAAGCACCATATAAATTCCATCATGTTTACACCACATGGATCCTGAAAGCACCATATAAATTCCACCTTGTTTACACCACATGGATCCTGAAAGCACCATATAAATTCCATCTTGTTTACACCACATGGATCCTGAAAGCACCATATAAATTCCATCTTGTTTACACCACATGGATCCTGAAAGCACCATATAAATTCCACCTTGTTTACACCACATGGATCCTGAAAGCACCATATAAATTCCACCTTGTTTACACCACATGGATCCTGAAAGCACCATATAAATTCCATCTTGTTTACACCACATGGATCCTGAAAGCACCATATAAATTCCATCTTGTTTACACCACATGGATCCTGAAAGCACCATATAAATTCCATCTTGTTTACACCACATGGATCCTGAAAGCACCATATAAATTCCATCTTGTGTCTTTGTTGTTTGTGTCATATAAAAAAAAAAGTCTCCTCCCTAAACTCTCTGCGCTTATTCAGCAATGTACACTCAACTCTCCCATACACGTCATTCATTCACACTTCCTCTCTGTCCTGTGTTCTCCCCCAGGTCCGGTCTGCAGTGCCTGTGTGGATAACTTTGGGGCGCGCCCTGTGACCATCTTCAGTGGGGTTATGGTGGCAGGGGGCCTGATGCTCAGTGCCTTCGCCCCAAACGTTCAGTTCCTCATCTTCTCTTACGGTATAGTCGTCGGTAAGTGAGAACCTTGTGGTGGTCTTTTACTGCTGAAGCAAGTCTGTGGTTTGTATGGCCCACTATTAGGATTAGCCTTGTCAGTGTGAGGAAATGATAGGAAGTTGCTTGTGTACTCAGTGGTTTTGTTGGGAGTGAACTGTGTTTTTGACTCACCATTACATACAAATATTAGACAATAACCTATCTTTCACTGATAGATAAGACACAACTTCCTCAGAGATAAGAATTGATACATAAAGAAGTATCAAGTTGGAGCTGTAAGTGAATAGGTTCATGCCTACGCTCGAGCACACATGCACTGAGGGTATGTGTAAAACAGAGGGGGCTGGTGGGAGGAGCTATAGGAGGATGGGCTCATTGTAATGGCTGGAATGGAGTAAATGGAACGGAGTGGTTTCCATATGTTTGATACAGTTCCATTAGTTTTTTGCAATTGCTAACAAGCATCGGTCAATACTGAAGCCACTTTTTCAAAACTCTTCACACAGTCTGCATTACCAACATTCATCTTGGCCAAACAGTTCATCTCACCTCAAACTCACTCAAACCACCAAAACACTTCATACATGTCTCAAAATAAGCTTGTTCAACCATAACACTGGCAACAATTCTCACTCAGAAAGCATACATTGTCACTCATAACACACTGACCTAAAAAAAACACTAACGGGGAGCATTACATAAATGATGAACTTTTCTCTTTGAAGTTTGAATGATTTTTCACATAAATCAGTATTTCATTATAGAATAAGAATAACACCTTTTCACTTTATTGACTGTACTAAAGTATATGTAACAATAATGATTCAGAAATGCAGCAATTTGCTTCAATAGCCTTTATTTTTTATATATCTTTGTATATAGTAATTTACTATAAGTAAATTACTACAAAATTTTTTTTCCTGAAAGTATAATCACTCATTCTGTACAGTACTGTGAGGGTTCTAGTTCTCCCTCTCTCCTGCATTTGGCCACAAGTTCTCATCAACATCACATCTTATTTCTTCTCTGGCGATGCATCTTGGAAAGTATCTTCTGGAATGTCTAATCCAACCCTGGCAGTCTTCAGGAGAAGTGTCTCCACACCCCGCATTCATGTCATCCAGTAAGGACATCTGGTCATGTGGATGGTGGTCATAAACCTTCCACCTCCACGCAGAGAAAAACTCTTCTATGGGGTTTAGGAAGGGGGAGTATGGAGGCAGGAATAGTACTGACATCCTGGGATGTGCAGCAAACCAGTCTGTGACTGTTTATGCAGGTCATGAAATTAGCCTCTCTGTATTGTAGGGGCCAATGTAACGGCAAACCATCATTGGACAGTGCTGCACACATTGTGATGTTAGCTCCTCTCTGGCCTGGGACATCCACGGTTGCTCTCTGTCCAATCACATTCCTTCCCCTGCAGTGTGTTTTTGCCACGTTGAATCCAGCTTCATCCACAAAGATGAATGTATGTGCAGTTTGCCTGGCTTCCATTTCCATTACTCTCTAAAATACAGTAAATCCACAGTGTTACAGTACTTTACATTATGCATAGCTGGGTATGTACCCTGTTTGGTTATTGAACAGACATTTTACCTGGACATATTGATACCGGAGTTCTTTCTCACGTTTACCGTTTCTCTCAAAGGGTACAGTGTACAACTGCTTCATCCTTATTTTATGTTTCTCTAGGACGCTGGCAATTGTCGTTGTGCTGACCGTATTCACATTCCCAAAAGTGAAATTGTCTGCCAGCACTCTGTCCCGAATTTCCTGCAGTTTTATTGCATTGTTACCAATTATCAAGTCAACAATGGCAATTTCCTGCGCATTAGATAATATTCTGGCTCTCCCTCCTGTGGGAGGCAACCTTTTGGATCCTACTGAAAAACACAAAACAATCAATATATTTCAAAATGTCAGTACATGTAAAAATGTGAACATACTGTATTGTACTGTAATATGTAGTTCAATTATTATTGAAGGATGCACATCTCACCTGTTGTTTTGCCGGAAAATACTATTGTACTATTGATGCAACTGTTGAACGCTGCAGATTTGGTCGCACCCTTAAACCGGCCTCTCTCAAAGAGAGATCATGGTTTACAACATGGTAAATAATTGTGGCCTTTATCTCATCAGAGACCACCGCTCTTGGTCTTCCTCTCCTCTGTCCTCCACGCGTTCTCCCTCTCCCTGCCACTCTTCTTCCCCCATCAACCTGTCTTCCTTGATCCATGTTTCCAAACTAAATCATGCCGAAGCCATCCTCTTGTCTGTTTGGTAATGAGACTAAAAACAGGACACTTGGGTAGGCTTTCAGCTGAAATTGCAATCAGCTGTGTTTGGAATGATTAAATATTCTGCTGAGATTTTCTATATGTTTCAATCTGGTTACTGCAGAAATGCACGACATTTGCCATCAATCTGTTTTGAATGTGTTTTTAACGCATTTGAAAACATGTGCTGCAAATATTTCGTTTTGCAGGTGGTGGAGTATGAATGAGAAAATAGTTAATGGATTTTGGAGAATGTGGTCATTGAATGCGTTTTGTGTGAAAGCAATGAAAAATGATTCACAGTTTAGCCCACATACACTTCTGTTTCGCTGACTGTGTGAAGAGTTTTGACAATGTGACTTCAGTTTTGACCAATGCATGTTAGCAATTGAAAAAAACTGTAATCCCATTCCAGCCATTACAATGAGCCTGTCCTCCTATAGCTCCTCCCACCAGCCTCCTCTGGTGCTGAATGAGGGTATATGTAGGAAGTATTCAGAGATATAAAAACAAGGTAGAGTCAGATTCCCAGATGCCTCTGGTGCCCCCCAATAGTGTGACGGCCCCATTACAGCCCCTTATCTAACACCCAGTGACAGCTGTTCAATGCTGAGGGGATAGAGCCCAATAGACTGCCACTGTCAACACTGCCTGTGGCATTGACCTGAGCGAGAGGCCATGCATATTTGAAGAAAGGCGTCTATTTTCAGACCGTGTGGCTCAGTTTCCTCTTATCGCTCCAGCCCCCCCCCTCTAGTCATCCATTGCGGATCAAATTACCAGAGACTTTTGGGGTGATTTTACACTAGACAAAAGTTATTGTGAATAAATGTAACGACTTTATCAGAGAGCAACAGATTTTAAACATGGTGAATGTGTTATTACAGTACATGACTAAGATGGCCTTACACAGTCACACAGTTTTACATTTAAGGTACACAGTTTACCGTGCAAGGCTTTGTTCAGAACATTAAATATATTCTTCAACATGGTTAATAAGGTACTGTAGTTAAATGCTCCTCTACAATGTGCTAATAAAATTTACCTCTGTTGTTTTTGTTGTCCACAGGTCTTGGCTGCGGTCTTCTCTATGCTGCAACATTGACCATCACCTGTCAGTACTTTGACAAGAGACGTGGCCTCGCCCTCGGCATAGTCACCACAGGTACTTCAGCCCCCCTCTGCGCTCACTGGGTTCACACCAAGTCTCCATGCTCAGTTCTTTCTTGTTTCAGAAGACGGAAGTCTTGGAATGCCAAGGTAAACATTCTAGTCTAAAAACTGTGTGTCCTTGTGGTTAGGGAAGTGGACTTGTGACAAGAGGAACACTGGTAATACAACCCAGTTCTGGAGCATTCAGTTCTTGTCCCCAGTTTTTGTCACAATCAAATCTGAAACGAAATTGCCTTAGGGAATATCCAGCTGTATCAATGGAGAACAGGGTGGGTAGCTTTAGGCAAAGCTTTTATGAAATGAATATATCTCTAATGGCTTATTCTTGGAATGCCAACACTAAATCATTCCTTTCTCTCATTTAGGCACAAGTGTGGGAGGGTTCCTCTATGCCACTGCTCAGAATGAGCTGATTCTTCTCTTTGACATGGACGGCTGCCTGCTGATTATCGGAGCCTTGGCCCTCAACCTCATGGCCTGTGGCGGCTTCATGAGGCCTCTGAACATGCCTGCCTACTACCTCAAACAGAAGGCTGCTCTGGAGCGCACAGAGGAGCAGCTCTTTGAGAACCCGCCTGCTGACGACCTCAAGACCACACCGAGCACCGGCGAGAGAACCTTGACGGTCAAGGATCTCCTGATCATCATCGACGCCAAAGACATCACCATCACCACAACTGACAAAAAAGGGGGCTTCATGGCAGGTTCAGCCATTGTGAAAATGATCAAGAAGAAGCGTCAGGCCTACTCAAAGTACATGCACTCCACGGCTGACTTCCTGCACGACAGAAACTTCATGGCCCTCTGCATCGCCATCTTCCTGTTCAGCCTGGGAGCCTTTCCTCCGGTCCTCTTCATGGAGGATGTGGCCCAGAGTGAGGGCCTCGTCGACGAGGTCAGCATCATCCCCCTGGTCTCCATTGTAGCCGTCACTGCTGGCGTGGGCAAGCTGACCCTGGGCATACTAGCAGACGTGAGGTGGATCAACAGTGTGTTCCTGTACGCCTTCACCCTGCTGGGGACCGGGACAGCCCTCCTCCTCATCCCCATGTCCAAGAGCTACGTAGGCCTGCAGGTACTCTCCGCTGTGGTGGGCTTCTTCTCTGGGAACTGGTCCCTAACGTCTTACATCACCACCAAGATTGTGGGCCTGGACAAACTGACCCAAGCCCATGGGGTCCTCATGTTCTTTGGGGGATTCGGGATCGTGCTCGGGCCCCCTGTTGTTGGTAAGAAAGATCCCACTTCTGACACCATTGGTCAACATCATTGCGGAGTGTGTGGTACTGATTTAGAGTTGTTAGTTTAGAGCTGGTACAGGTTCATATTCATGCTTTTACAGATGTCAAAACATTTTTACAGATTATGTCATATTAATGTGTGAGTGAGAATGTTGAACTCAAGATGTTTGCCTTTAGCTAGTCTTTATCTGACTCATACTTTGTCGAGAGATTTTGTTGATTCTAATTAAATTGTTTTTTCTCTCCTCTTCTTCCTGTTCCAGGGTGTTTTTTTGACTGGACCCAGTCCTATGACCTGGCCTTCTACTTCAGTGGAGGCTCTGTGCTCCTGGGTGGGGTCACGCTCTTTCTCTGTGCTCTGCCCTGGTGGGACAAAAAGAAGGCTGACATCGACAGGCCTGACATTCAGTACACCAGCAACTGTGAAAAAGTTGCCTCTGTAGCCTGAACACTGACTTTCACATCGACCTTGCTCTCCAGTGCTCCCAGCTATTTTTGCTGATAAACGTTATACCGTTCAAGAGGTTGTTGAGAATATTTCCTGGTGCCAGATTTCACATACCTGAGAAGAGTATTGAAGTAGAGTAGGCCTTTTCTATATATCTTTAGTGTTTTTAAAGATGCCTATGTTGATCATTTTAATTACGGTCTCATTTTAAGAGGCCTATTCAACAAAATGTTTTTTAAACAAATGAATACAATAGATTATGTTTACTTAGAATGAATGCTGTTTTTTAAGTTTCCGGATCTTCACTGGGCTCAAATGAAAAATACTTTTTCTTCTGGTGACCCTGTGGAGAAATGCAAACCAACAGTAGCCTGTGAAGATGTTGGTTGAAAACACAAAAGACTGTTCAAATTACTCAACATATGGAAATGTATAACCATGCAAAATTCCAATTACAAAGAATTTACCAGGTATTTCCTGGAGGGAAAAAATACAGGGATTGGAAAAAAATGAGGGAATGCACTTTAATGTACTCTTTTTAATTATAGCCGAACAAACTGTTTGTTTCTATCTTACCAAAGCACCAGGATGGTGGATGCCTGTCAACACGTTATGCCTGATGAATACAAGCCTTGCTTTTAAAGGATAGATATGTATTGTTTTTAAATTATTGGCATTGTGCTGTATTTTACTTGTACTGTCCAAACGTGTTTGTTTGAGTTAGGGAGGTACTGAACACCTCACTTTTGTCTTGACCTGACTAAGAACTTGCTGAAGAATATGTGGGGCAAATACCAGAGACTTTACAGGAATAAAGTCCAGTTCCTCTAACTAATGCATGCTGGTTCTTCGTGGCATGACCCATTTCCTGCATTTGTTCAGCAGGCTTGTAAAACTTTTGTTTTTGTCTGTGGTTTTTGTTTTTTAATAGCACTATATTTTGTAGTTATGATTTTATATTTTTAAGAATAGAATGATTGTGATTCCTGCTTTGTTAGTCACTTGAAGATCTGATTTTGTATGTAAAATGTACCACTATATATAATAATATTGTTTTATTCTCAGTCTAGCGTCTTTGTAGAAGTATTTACAGGGTTTAAAATACAATACTAAATATCTGTGATCCAAAAAGGCTAGAAACAGTAGAGCTGTCACTTTTTATATGATGTTGAACCACTTCGTATTTTCTTTTTTAATGTCAGTGTTACGGTATTTATGTTTGCAATTTTTCTATTCTATTTTCAACAAAGTGCCAATAAAATGAAATTCAATATTGTGATTCTGGATGTGTTTTAATGCTGTCTGACTAACATAAAATATGATTCACTGAAGACCTCTCTTCTTGACTTCCGCACATGTGGTGAACATTTTGGTTGTATTCTGAGCAAATGTTCTGTAAACTCCAGACACTCCTTGAAAATTTGACATAATTCAGTCATTTGGCAGTACACCATATGAACTGATACGCAAAACGACACCGGATTCAAAACTTAGAATCTAAATATATAAAATTATATAAAATTCTTGCTACCAATAGAATGTTATTTATATGGGGCTCTGCAGATTTTGCTGCGAAGAGACAGAATCATTAGATAATTTGTTTTGGTACTGTCCATTTGTAGCTTGTTTTTGGACACAGGTCCAGGAATGGCTAAAGGATTGCAATATTTACCTGGAGCTAACCCTGCAGATAGCACTACTGGGTGATCTGAAAAGTAATAGTCAATTGATCAATAACATAATACTATTAGCAAATTTTTTTTATTTTCAATTCACAATCTGTAGAAACAATGAGAATAGAAAGGTTCAGAACTTTTGTAAGACATCACAGTACAGTTGAAATATATATGGCAAATAGAAATCCTATATGGATGGTGTTAAAAGATGGATGGGAGGTGTTGAATGGAATTGAAGGATGGGACTAATAACTAACAACAAACAATAACAAGATAACTAATAATGTAGGCACGCTGTGTCCATGATAAGTGTATGGGTTGTAGGTTGGGAGCTTTTGTGAAGGAGCACAGTTAGAAAGATATGGCATATAGAAGCAAACCGGATGGACATGAAAATGATAGGAAAGGTTGAGAGTAGAAGAAGTTCAGGAGAAAGAACAAACAAAATGTAATTACTGTAAAATTGACTGTGTCCATAAAATGTAGATAGTGGGTATGGGCTGGAAGTAGAGGCCTAGGCGTTGTTGTTCACTAGTTTACTCCAAGTAGAGAAAGGGTGGCGGGGTTGGAAAGTAATAAAGGGGAATATATATATATTTTTAAAGGATATGTATGTGTATGTGTATATATATACAGTGAGCTCCATAATTCATTGGACAGTGACCATTGTTTTGTTATTTTGGTTCTGTACTCTAACACTTTGAGTTTGAAAGGATACAATGACAATGAGCGTGAAGTGCAGACTGTCAGCTTTAATTTTAGGGTATTTTCATACATATCGGATGAACCGTTTAGAAATGACAGCACCTTTTGTACATGGTCCCCCCATTTTAAGGTACTACAAGTATTTGTTAAATTGGCTTCACAGATGTGTGTCGTTAGGCAGGTGTATTCATTTGTGTCGTTAGTGAATGCAGGAGAGCTGTTGATGAATAGTAATGATTCTAGACGTTGCTATTGCCTTTGGAGGTTGTTATTGGGGTGTGACAACATGAGGAAGACAGCAGTGTCGATGCAAATGAAGTTGGCCGTCAAAAAAGGTTCAGAAATGAAAATCAATCATTCAGGAACATTGCAAAAACCCTGGCCATGCCCAAGTCAACAGTTTTGTTCATCATTAACAAGAAAAAAACAACCGGTGAACTGAATTATGTCAAAAGACCCGGTAGACAGAGGAAGACCACTGTAGTGGATGACCGGAGAATACTCTCTATGGTGAAGAAAAAAACCCCTGATAACAGCCCAACAGATCAAAAACACTCTCCTGGATGCAGGTGTAGATGTGTTAAAGTCTACCATACGCAGAAGACTACACCAGCAGGACTACAGAGGGTACACTGCAAGATGCAAACCACTGATAAGCCTGAAGAACAGAAAGGCAAGATTACAGTTTGCTAAAAAGCACCTAAAAGAACCCCAAGAGTTCTGGAAAAAAATATTGTGGACAGATGAGACAAAGATGAACATGTACCAGAGTGATGGAAAGACAAAAGTGTGGAGAAAAAAAAGAAATGCCCATGATCCAAAGCATACCACCTCATCCATGAAACATGGTGGAGGGGGTGTTATGGCTTGGGCCTGTATGGCTGCCAGTGGAACAGGCTCACTTGTCTTCATCGATGATGTGACTGCAGACAGAAGTAGAACAATGAATTCTGAAGTCTACAGAAATATTTTATCTGCTCAGATAAAACCAAATGCCTCCAAACTCATTGGACGGCACTTAATCACGCAACAAAAGACAATGACCCTAAACATACTGCTAGAGCAACAAAGGGGTTTTTGATGGCCAAAAAGTGGAAAAACCTTGACTGGCCGAGTCAATCACCAGATCTGAATCCAATTGAACATGCATTTTACATGCTGAAGAGGAGACTTAAGGCAATAAGTCCCCTAAACAAGCAGGAACTGAAGATGGCTGCAGTACAGGCCTGGCAGAGCATCACCAGGGAAGATACCCAGCGTCTGGTGATGGCGATGCATCGCAGACTTCAAGCAGTCATTGCATGCAAAGGATATGCGACCAAATATTTACAATGATTACTTTATTCTACATTATGTTAAACTGTCCAATGATTTTTGATGCCCGAAAATGGGGGGGACCATGTACAAAAGCTTCTATAATACGTAAACGGTTCATCCGATATGTATGAAAATACCCTCAAATTAAAGCTGACAGTCTGCACTTCACGCTCATTGTCATTGTATCCTTTCAAACTCAAAGTGCTAGAGTACAGAACCAAAATAATAAAACAATGGTCACTGTCCAATGAATTATGGAGCTCACTGTATATAAACATGAGGGATTGGAAGTGATGCAGACAATTACATTGATGGAAGTTACAATCTATCTGCAATACTAAGCTGATCTACCCCCCCCCCCAAAAAAGGAAGAAAAAAAATAAATAAATAAAAAGTAACCATCCTCCCATCTCAATGGAAACTATACTGAACAAAAAAGTATAAACGCACATCCAACCATTTCAAAGATTTTACTGAGTTACAGTTCACATAAGGAAATCAGTCAATTGAAATAAATAAAATTAGGCTCTAATCTATGGATTTATACATGACTGGGAATACAGATGGTCACCTACAAACAAGCAAGATTTCTGGCTCTCACAGACCTGTAACTTCTTATTTAAGAGGCTCCTCTGTCCTCCACTCGTTACCTGTATTAATGGCACCTGTTTGAACTTGTTATCAGTATAAAAGACACCTGTCCACAACCTCAAACAGTCACACTCCAAACTCCACTATGGCCAAGACCAAAGAGCTGTCAAAGGACACCAGAAACAAAATTGTAGACCTGCACCAGGCTGGGAAGACTGAATCTGCAATAGGTAAGCAGCTTGGTTTGAAGAAATCAACTGTGGGAGCAATTATTAGGAAATGGAAGACATACAAGACCACTGATAATCTCCCTCGATCTGGGGCTCCACGCAAGATCTCACCCCGTGGGGTCAAAATGATCACAAGAACGGTGAGCAAAAATCCCAGAACCACACGGGGGGACCTAGTGAATGACCTGCAGAGAGCTGGGACCAAAGTAACAAAGCCTACCATCAGTAACACACTACGCCGCCAGGTACTCAAATCCTGCACTGCCAGACGTGGCCCCCTTGCTTGTCCAGGCCCATCTGAAGTTTGCTAGAGTGCATTTGGATGATCCAGAAGAGGATTGGGAGAATGTCATATGGTCAGATGAAACCAAAATATAACTTTTTGGTAAAAACTCAACTCGTCGTGTTTGGAGGACAAAGAATGCTGAGTTGCATCCAAAGAACACCATACCTACTGTGAAGCATGGGGGTGGAAACATCATGCTTTGGGGCTGTTTTTCTGCAAAGGGACCAGGACGACTGATCCGTGTAAAGGAAAGAATGAATGGGGCCATGTATCGTGAGATTTTGAGTGAAAACCTCCTTCCATCAGCAAGGGCATTGAAGATGAAACGTGGCTGGGTCTTTCAGCATGACAATGATCCCAAACACACCGCCCGGGCAACGAAGGAGTGGCTTCGTAAGAAGCATTTCAAGGTCCTGGAGTGGCCTAGCCAGTCTCCAGATCTCAACCCCATAGAAAAGAGTGAAAGTCTGTTATACATAAAACATGAGGGATGTTGGAAAATTACACACCTGATACTAAGCGTTAAAAAAAAATAGGAAAAAAAATTACAATCAACCATTTCGGATTTTACTGTGTTGTCATATACGTGTCATGAAAAAAAAATTACTCAATGAGGATTGACAAGGTGGGAATACAGTATGCATCTGTTGGTCACAGGATATATAAAAAAAAAAAAGGTAGGTGCGTGGATCAGAAAACCAGTCAGTATCTGGTGTGACCACCATTTGCCTCATGCACACATCTCCTTTGCATAAAGTTGATCAGTTGATCAGGCTGTTGATTGTGGTCTTTGGAATGTTGGCCCATTCCATAACCCCACCGCCACCATAGGGCACTGTTCACATCGTTGACATCAGCAAACCTGTCGCCCACACGACATCATACATGTGTTCTGCGGTTGTGAGGCCTGGTTGGACGTACTGCCAAATTCTATGCCCTTACAAAAAAAGATTGCAATTTTCAAACTGCAGTAAAAGTGTAGTAAGTGCAGTCGACTGTGGTATTTTGGATGCAGAATAACTGCGGTGTACTGCAGTTTCTAATGCAGTTATACTGTACTGTAACTGCAGTTACGCTGCAAAATTACTGCAGTAAAAAAAACGGTGTTATTTTGGATGCAGTATTTGCAACCTACTGCAGTTATACTGCACTCTGACTGCAATCTTTTTTTGAAAGGTGGAGGTGGCTTATGGGTGAGAAATGAACATTCAATTATCTGGCAACATTCTTGCAGTCAGCATGCCAATTGCACACTCCCTCAAAACTTGAGACATCTGTGGCATTGTGTTGTGTGACAAAACTGCACATTTTAGAGTGGCCTTTTATTGTCCCCAGCAGAAGGTGAACCTGTGTAATGATCATGCTGTTTAATCAGCTTCTTCATATGCCACACTTGTCAGGTGGATGGATTATCTTGGCAAATGAGAAATGCTCACTAATTGGGATGTAAACAAATTTGTGCACAACATTTGAGAGAAATATGCTTTTTATGCATATGGAACATTTATGGGATCATTTATTTCAGCTCATGAAACATGGGACCAACACTTTACATGTTGCGTTTATTTTTTGCTCAGTGTATATTTGGCTACATTGTAGCAGAAAATAAAAAACAGGTGGTATGCACATGTAGGCCTATGCCACTAACATGTTTCAGTTCACAGTTAGGAGGAAATTAACCGCATTCTGACTGGGCAGGAAATTGAATGCACCCTCCGAAAAATCTCCATAGTTACAGTACTTGTCACATGACACAAACATGTAAACGGAGAATACTAATTAGTTTGCCAAGGCCTACAGTAAAACATGTCTTATTTCCTCGGCTGTCAGTGTAAAGCTAGGTATATTTCTTAATATCTATACATATACAAGTGTGTGAGCGATGGAAAAACATTTATTTGCCTCAAATATCAAACTTTCCGATAGATATCGGGAGGAAGAACCTTCCATGAATAAAAACGACGCATAGAAATGTCAAAAGGAGCGTTGCTGTTTGCTGACTTGAGATGGGAGCAAGCGCCTCGATATCTCTCTGTGTAAGTTTGAGTAATTTCTTATTTTACAAGGCATAGCCTACCGTGCAATGCAGTATTGAATATAGCTTGTTAATGAATAAAAGACAGGCAAGCGAAAACTGAATTGTCAGTGAATGCATCAGCCAAGTTTCATCAGTAGGTGAGAATTCTCAGTCAGCTAACGTTACATCAGCTGTTTTACAGGAAATACAGTAACGTTACATAACTTCAGACAATTTTCCCATTTCAGCAGACACTTTGTTCCTCAGTTTGTCACTTAATTGTGGAAATCCTCACTAAAATCCTGATTGTGTAGGCTTAATGTTAATTAAGGGCAAGTTAAGCAGTAACCCAGAAAGATTATGCTTTAGCATGGCTTTCAATGGCTTGAATAAAGGGTAAATCCATTTTAATTCAATCAACTTTTTGACAGCATCCCTTTCGATTTAAATACAACTTCCCATACACGTTTGCCTATGGAAGAAGTGGTCAGAAAGGGAATTTTTGGACCTGAATGCCAAAACATTCAGGAGATGAAGGTGCTCAAAGTTTAACCATTTTACATATACCAACATACCATGAGACATCCATGTTTCATCACTGGAAAATATAAACAGTTTAGTTTGATATCAAATAAAAGTTTACAAACAAGGTTGTCAAACTATTTTATAATTTCTTGAATTATTGATACTTTTTTAATAAAAGGTATTACTTTTTTTTAATGTTAAAGCTACAATATGTAACTTTTTGGGCCACCGATCAAATTCACATAGAAATGTGAGTTCTAGATATGTCATTCTCATTGAAAGCGAGTCTAAGAAGCGGTAGATATGTTCTATGTGCGCTATTTCTATGCTTCCCGTTCTTACGTTTTGTTTTTGAGTCATTTACTTTCGGTTTTGTACAGCAACTTCAAACAGCTGAAAATATAATATTTTTGGTTATGGAAAATATATTTCATAGCGGTTTAGATGGGACAATGATTCTCTACACTATATTTGCTTGTTTTGTCACATAAACTGAAATAGGCGAACTATTAGAATTTTAGCAACCAGGAAATGGCATAGTGCATCTTTAACGTCAATATTCGCATATGTTGTAGCTTAGACCCTACTTTACTTCATATGAGGTTTTTGTGTTGTGCCCGCCATTGGTTGAGACACAACATGCTCTTGAATACAGGGTGGGTGTCATTTTAATCATAGAAATATAATTCATAGAATGGACCGCTGCAATTTAGCTGGTACACCATTGGACCTCCAACCATCTTTGTGGTACCATTTGAAAGTAGACATTTTTATTTTATTCCCATTTGAGTACATTTATCAGCCAAAACATGACACCTACCCTGTATTCAAGAGCATGTTGTGTCTCAACGATTGGCGGGTACAACGCTAAAACCTCAGATGATGTAGAATAGGGTCTAAGCTACAGCATACGTGAATCTGAGAAAAAAAAATCGGAGTTTGCGCGTTTTCAAATAATTGACATTTAAGGTTTACATTTTGTATCTTAATAAAAAAATATTCAAGAAATTATACAAATAGTTTGACAACCCTGTTTTGTAAGCTTTTAAATTATATAAATCTCAACCGTTCATCTTTTCCAGTGAGGAAGACATGGATGTCTCATGGTATGGTGGGGTATGCAAAATAGGTTAACTTTGGTTTCTGTCAAAAAGTGATTGAATTCAAATGGATTTACCCAAAAGTTCAAATTAGGAATTACAACTGTGGATAGGCCTGTGGGATACCTGACTCTTATACTGTGTTGTTGAATCCATCCAGTTGGCTCTTATCCTCAGGAAATACTGATAAGAAGGACCAAAATGCCTACAGCTTAAAGTTTTGGTGTCGTTTCTATGCAGAGTGACTCGTCTGCTGTGAGAATTCGGAAGCAAAATGCGAAGATTAGCCCCGAGCCAACTGTTCCAGACCCAGGCCCTGACACCAGTCCTGTCTTTGGGGTAACCCTTGAGAGGCTGAGAGAAGATGGACAGCTTGTTTGTGGAGTGCCCCACATGCTGCGACACATGGTGGATTTCCTGGACAGAAATGGTAAGGCATCATACTGCTACACACACACACACACACACACACACACACACACACATACACATACACACACACACACACACACACACACACACACACACACACACACACACACACACACACACACATACAGTGGGGAGAACAAGTATTTGATACACTGCCGATTTTGCAGGTTTTCCCACTTACAAAGCATGTAGAGGTCTGTAATTTGTATCATAGGTACACTTCAACTGTGAGAGACGGAATCTAAATCCAGAAAACCACATTGTATGATTTTTTAAAGTAATTAATTTGCATTTTATTGCATGACATAAGTATTTGATCACCTACCAACCAGTAAGAATTCCGGCTCTCACAGACCTGTTAGTTTTTCTTTAAGAAGCCCTCCTGTTCTCCACTCATTACCTGTATTAACTGCACCTGTTTGCACTCGTTACCTGTATAAAAGACACCTGTCCACACACTCAATCAAACAGACTCCAACCTCTCCACAATGGCCAAGACCAGAGAGCTGTGTAAGGACATCAGGGAAAACATTGTAGACCTGCACAAGGCTGGGATGGGCTACAGGACAATAGGCAAGCAGCTTGGTGAGAAGGCAACAACTGTTGGCGCAATTATTAGAAAATTGAAGAAGTTCAAGATGACGGTCAATCACCCTCGGTCTGGGACTCCATGCAAGATCTCACCTCGTGGGGCATCAATGATCATGAGGAAGGTGAGGGATCAGCCCAGAACTACACGGCAGGACCTGGTCAATGACCTGAAGAGAGCTGGGACCACAGTCTCAAAGAAAACCATTAGTAACACCCTACGCCGTCATGGATTAAAATCCTGCAGCGCACGCAAGGTCCCCCTGCTCAAGCCAGCGCATGTCCAGGCCCGTCTGAAGTTTGCCAATGACCGTCTGGATGATCCAGAGGAGGAATGGGAGAAGGTAATGTGGTCTGATGAGACAAAAATAGAGCTTTTTGGTCTAAACTCCACTCGCCGTGTTTGGAGGAAGAAGAAGGATGAGTACAACCCCAAGAACACCATCCCAACCGTGAAGCATGGCGGTGGAAACATCATTCTTTGGGGATGCTTTTCTGCAAAGGAGACAGGACGACTGCACCGTATTGAGGGGAGGATGGATGGGGCCATGTATCGCGAGATCTTGGCCAACAACCTCCTTCCCTCAGTAAGAGCATTGAAGATGGGTCGTGGCTGGGTCTTCCAGCATGACAACAACCCGAAACACACAGCCAGGGCAACTAAGGAGTGGCTCCGTAAGAAGCATCTCAAGGTCCTGGAGTGGCCTAGCCAGTCTTCAGACCTGAACCTAATAGAAAATCTTTGGAGGGAGCTGAAAGTCCGTATTGCCCAGCGACAGCCCCGAAACCTGAAGGATCTGGAGAAGGTCTGTATGGAGGAGTGGGCCAAAATCCCTGCTGCAGTGTGTGCAAACCTGGTCAAGACCTACAGGAAACGTATGATCTCTGTAATTGCAAACAAAGGTTTCTGTACCAAATATTAAGTTCTGCTTTTCTGATGTATCAAATACTTATGTCATGCAATAAAATGCAAATGAATTACTTAAAAATCATACAATGTGATTTTCTGGATTTTTGTTTTAGATTCCGGCTCTCACAGTTGAAGTGTACCTATGATAAAAATTACAGACCTCTACATGCTTTGTAAGTAGGAAAACCTGCAAAATCGGCAGTGTATCAAATACTTGTTCTCCCCACTGTACATACATACATACATACACACATACACACACATTACTTTGTTTACAGTCCATCCCCTGTCCTTACTGCAGGTGTGCAGCAGAGGGGTCTGTTCCGTCTGTCTGGCTCTGTGGTGAGGACCAGGCAGCTGAGGCTGAGATTGGACAGGGGAGAGAGGATGGATCTTGAGGTGGAGGGGGATGTCTCCACTGTGGCCTCCCTGCTCAAGCTCTTCTTCAGGGAGCTGCCCAGCCCCATCATACCAGAGCCTCAGCGCAAGGACCTGGTTCTCAGCCTCACAGGTATGGCAATTGACCCTTCGCTAGGGCCCTCCCCAGAATATGGGGCAACCACTCTCAGCGATCCAATAGAGCTCGCCAGCTTGTAGTCCTAAAAATGAAAATGTGTTAGCATTTTGTACCTCTGGTTCTTTCAGCCATTCCTATGGGTGAATTGAATGGGCAAAGAATGGGGTTTTGGGATAAACACTGAAAATAAGGTTAACACAACCTTAGGAGATTTTATACGTTTTGTTCTCTGAGATACTATCAGACAGTTAACATGAACTTGATGAATTATGAAGCCCTAATGTGCCTTATGTGCTTGTTTTGATTACAGAAATGCTTCAAAATTCACAAAAAGTGACGTTAGCTGATGAAGATGATCTCATAAAACAAAATGTATAAGATCTCCTAAGCCTGTGTTTACCACATACCTTATTTTCGGCATTTATCCATAGGCTTTGGCCAATGAGCCATTACATTTACATTTACGTCATTTAGCAGACGCTCTTATCCAGAGCGACTTACAAATAGGTGCACTCACCTTATAGCCAGTGGGATAACCACTTTACAGTTATTATTTATTTATTTTATAAAAAAAAAAATGTGGGTGGGTGGGGTGGGTTGGGGTAAGGGGGGTAGAAGGATTACTTTATCCTATGCTTTGGCGGAGTTAGCCTCCGTTAGTGCCTACAAAAAGACGGCATTACTATTGCTCTCTATGGATAGCAACTGTTGTCAAGTCCGACACCTCGGACAAGCTCACTTTTTAAAAGCATGGAAGCCATAGAGCCCCAGAGTGGAGGTGTCATAATACCCATAAAACCTAGCGGTCAAACGGAAATGGTTCCAATTGTTTTTCCACCATTCATTTTTCCTATAGGGTATTTTAGAAACACTTAAAATAAGGGCTGTGTTTCGTGTAGGCTTACCCTGGCTTGACGTTTTGATAACCATGTACATTTCTCTATCAAACACAGATTTGATCACTCAGAGTTATCACCCGTATCTCATGCCATATACTGTATATGAAATCCAGGTCACAGTTTCCATATGATATGTGTGTTTCTGCTAACCTATAGTGGTGAGACCAGCACACACATGGGGAAAATCGCAGACTGTTAATCTATCACAGTCTAACCTTTAGTCCCCACAAACATGCTTCCCACCATTGTCTGCATATATTGCTTTATGATGTGGGTAAAAGATCTCAGCAATATGCACCACTTGTTTACCTGTGGTTCAACCACTACTTTGAGTCTGAATATAAGTAATAATAAATACTTTTATGGGGTATAATTGGTATTTCCAAAGATTAAGCCTAGATTTTCAACAGAATGATGCTATTGATGTTGATGCTATCAGGTATTGAATTTTGATGTGAAGTGTTGCTAATGTTCATGTCAAGATTTTCTTTATTTTCTCTAGAATGTAAGAATGAGGCAGAGTTGATCGCGGCTCTGAAAGAGAAACTCAGCAGCCTACCTGTCGACAACCACAGCATCCTGTCTTACCTCCTCCACTTCCTGTCAAGGGTGGCCTCTCACAGCCAATCAAATCACATGCCCGTGGAGAACCTGGCCACAGTCTTTGGACCCTGTATATTCCAGTGAGTCATTGCCAATAGCAACCCTATTCATCACATCATAGATCACCCCAGAGACATATTCAGGGCATAGAACTTGTGCAAACATTACAAGTGGGAAATGATCAGTCATAATAGCTAGTTGACTTAATAAAAGAGACTAAAACATTGTTCCACTGTATTCAATTGGTTAGTAACCTACACAACTGTAGTCCTAGTTCAGGTTAACATTAGTGTATAACAATTAAACATGACTGCCAGTTCCAATCCTCACAGTTCAAATCAAATCAAAGTTTATTGGTTGCGTACACAGTTTTTCAAATGCTTATCGCAGGTGCAGCAAAATGCTTATGTTTCTAGCTCCAACAGTGTAGCAATATCTAGCACTACAAAACAATACACACATAATCCAATAGTAAAAAAATAACAAGAAATTAAGACATATCAGAACAGTTGCACAATTAGGAGCTGGAAGGGGTGGAGGGGAGTTGACAGAGTTGAGGAAATGTGTGTGGAGTAGGGCGATAGAGCAGGACAGGCGGTGGCCGACAGAAGTTATTGTACAGCTGTAGTTCTCCAGTTTACAGAGCTCTGCCGTCTGTGTAAACAAACATGGCCCCAGAGATCTTACTGTCTTGTCCTGCCATGCCTCTGCCCTGACACAGTGGTAAGACGTATTTACAGTTGCGGACAAATGTATTGGCACCATTGCACTTTTCTGTAATAAATCCCTATTTCTTCTCAAATAAGTTGAATTTGAAAAATAGTTTTGGTCTTCACATGTTGTTTGTTATTGGATTGTCAACATTGCAGAACACATTATGTTTACAATTTTTATGAAGAAAACATTTAATAATGTCATGGACAAAAATGATTGGCCCCTGAGCTAATACTTGGTTAAACAGGCTTTGGCAAAGATAACTGCAAAAAAATGCTTATTGTAGCCATCAGCTTGCTGCACCTTTCTAATGTCAATTTGGCCCACTCTTCAGCTGCAAACTGCTCAAATTCTTTAATATTTGAGTGGTGCCTTCCACCAACTGCTGTTTTCAGATCTTGCCATAGGTTTATGATGGTATTCAGGTGTGGACTCATCGCTGGCCATTCCAGAACAGTCCAGTGTTTATTCTTGAACCATTCCTGAGTGAATGGCCCACAGTGCCAAACTGACAGTCACTCAATTAGCCATGGTCACAGATACCTTAAAAAAGAAAAGGTTGGGGCATGGGTCAGAAAACCAGTCAGTATCTGGTGCCTCATGCAGCGCGACACATGTACTTCGCATAGAGTTGATCAGGCTGTTGATTGTGGCCTGTGGAATTTTGTCCCACTCCTCTTCAATGGCTGTGCAAAGTTGCTTGATATTGGCGGGAACTGGAACACGCTGTCGTACACGTTGATCCAGAGGATCCCAAACATGCTCAATGGGTGACATGTCTGGTGAGTATGCAGACCATGGAAGAACTGGGACATTTTCAGCTTCCAGGAATTGTGTACAGATCCTTGCGACATGGGGCCGTGCATTATCATGCTGAAACATGACGTTATAGCGGTGGATGAATGGCACGACAATGGACTTCAGGATCTCATCAAGGTATCTCTGCATTAAAATTGCCATCAATAAAATGCAATTGTGTTCGTTGTCCGTAGCTAATGCCTGCCTTTACCATAACCCCAACGCCACCAAATTTGAGAGAAATGCGCTTTTTGTGCATATGGGATCTTTTATTTCAGCTCATGAAACATGGGACCAACACTTTACATGTTGCGTTTATATTTTTGTTCAGTGTAGTAATCATGGCCGAATACCGACCAGGCGTGCAGGGCATGTGCCCAGGGGCCCTGACCTTCAGGGGGCCCCCTTTGATTTTGTTAGTCACTCTCACTCAGATATCATTAACATGGCATACATCTTGGCAAATGTGTAGAATTACAGGAAATTAGCTTTAAAACTGCACACATTTCTCTCCACCACATGGCAAAGTGGGTAGAATTGCATGAAATTTGCTGTAATTTGTATTATTATTATTTTTGCACCATGGCAAAATGTGTAGAATTGCAGACAGTTAGTTGGCTTTAAAGCTGCGACATCTTCTCTACTCCCCATGGCAACGTGTAGAATTGCAAGAAATGTACTTTAAAACATTAGTTTTTTAGCTCCACCATTAAATGTTTTGCCTGCGAGGTGGGGGTGGGGGGGGCAAATTTCACTTAGGGCCCCCAAAAGGCTAGGGCAGGCTCTGGTTTTCAGTATTGGTATTGCATAGAGAAGCAAATCTCATTTTACAGTAATGGTGTGAATTATATAGTTGTAAATGGCATACAATCACTGTTAAAACTCAGTCTTGATTTCCTCTGATCAGCAGAGCATTTTACTGAACACATTTTCATTGACGTTTGGTCTTCCTCTCCCTGTACAGTGTTCCATCAGGGCCTAGGATGCTGGAAGAGCAGAGTGTGTGTAATGCCCTGTTGCTCCACCTCCTTAGACATCAATCCGTTGTCTTTATCTGTCCCCCGGACCTTCCACACCCCCCTCCTAGCCAGGACACCCCGTCACCACCCCCACCCCTCGCAGCCCTGTCCCATTTTGAGGTGAGACATTACAGTGATTTGTACTGTACATCTCTCCTTGGCATCTGAGGATAGGCTTACAGAGGTTCATAATGTCCTGAGTTTTCGCTAAATTAACAATAGCCCTGACCCTGACCTTAACCCTTCAAATGCTGTTATCTTTAAGAAATGACAGGATATCCTGCTTCCCCTGACCCCTGTGAAGACAGGTGAGGGGTTTCATGACGCATCATCCCACCCCAGTGAACTCCATTTACTTTGCAACAACAGATAATATCATACAGTATTATGGCATATTTCCACCTAAGACTTACCCAAGTGTTTTACCATAAAGGCTCAGACTTTTGTGTTTCCACCTCCACGGCCCGGCTCCAGTGTCTCACAGGGCCGTGGCCTCAGTGGACCTGCTCTGACTTAGGGCCAAGGCCAAGCCACTGGTACTTTTCAGCTGGCATATACATAACAATGGCTAAGCAACTCACAAAGCAACTGTCTTGATAATGCAGAGGTTGTTGATTCTGCTCACCCCAAGTCTTTAGTGTCACATCCTGATGGAAACAATAACACTAGAGCTGACATTAACATAAACACTGGCGACACACTGGTGTGGGGTAAGTCTTGGTTGGAAATTCCCCATATACTGTAACATGTCTTTGGTGGTTATACAGAACAAACCAAACATCTCCAATATTATGTTTGATAGCATAGTAATCAAGCATCTTATAGTGCTGTGTCATGTATGGTAAGAGGACATTTCAGGGAGTAATGTGTCTTTATTGTCCCGGCTGCAGGAGAGACTGGGGGGTCCTCCCAGCACCTCTCGGTCAGAGGAGAGTAACAGTGTAGGAAGGTTTGACGGAGACAGCACCACGTCAGAGACAGGAGGTCTTACGGCCAACACACCCAGAAAGGCATGGACGCCATCCAACCTGAACAGGTACAGTCCCCTGCCTAGTATCACCTGGAAGTCTCTGAAAGAGCCCATATGAGAGCCATTAAAGAGATGGAATAATATGAAAGTGTAAAGCAACAAAAGTGGTTATAAACTCAGCAAAAAAAGAAACATCCTCTCACTGTCAACTGCGTTTATTTTCAGCAAACTTAACATGTGTAAATATTTGTATGAACATAACAAGATACAACAACTGAGACATAAACTGAACAAGTTCCACAGACATGTGACTAACAGAAATGGAATAATGTGTCCCTGTACAAAGGGGGGGTCAAAATCAAAAGTAACAGTCAGTATCTGGTGTGGCCACCAGCTGCATTAAGTACTGCAGTGCATCTCCTCCTCATGGACTGCACCAGATTTGCCAGTTCTTGCTGTGAGATAATAATAATAATAATATATAATAATATGCCATTTAGCAGACGCTTTTATCCAAAGCGACTTACAGTCATGCGTGCATACATTTTTTTTGTTGTTGTATGGGTGGTCCCAGGGATCGAACCCACTACCTTGGCGTTACAAGCGCCGTGCTCTACCAGCTGAGCTACAGAGGACCACAGGGAGTAATGTGTCTTTATTGTCCCGGCTGCAGGAGAGACTGGGGGGTCCTCCCAGCACCTCTCGGTCAGAGGAGAGTAACAGTGTAGGAAGGTTTGACGGAGACAGCACCTTCCTACACTGAGATGTAACCCACACTGAGATGTAACCCACATTTACATTTACGTCATTTAGCAGACACTCTTATCCAGAGCGACTTACAAATTGGTGCATTCACCTTATAGCCAGTGGGATAACCACTTTTCAATATGTATTTTTTTTTTCTTTCTTTGGGGTGGGGTAAGGGAGGGTAGAATGATTACTTTATCCTATCCCAGGTATTCCTTAAAGAGGTGGGGTTTCAAGTGTCTCCGGAAGGTGGTGAGTGACTCCGCTGTCCTGGCGTTGTGAGGGAGCTTGTTCCACCATTGGGGTGCCAGAGCAGCGAACAGTTTTGACTGGGCTGAGCGGGAACTGTGCTTCCGCAGAGGTAGGGGGGCCAGCAGGCCAAAGGTGGATGAACGCAATGCCCTCGTTTGGGTGTAGGGACTGATCAGAGCCTGAAGGTACGGAGGTGCCGTTCCCCTCACAGTTCCGGTTTGTCAAGATCGGTGTGGAAGAACTTGACTGGCCTGCACAGAGCCCTGACCTCAACCCCATCGAACACCTTTGGGATGAACTGGAACGCCGACTGCGAGCCAGGCCTAATCGCCCAACATCAGTGCCCGACCTCACTAATGCTCTTGTGGATGAATGGAAGCAAGTCCCTGCAGCAATGTTCCAACATCTAGTGGAAAGCCTTCCCATAAGAGTGGAGGCTGTTATAGCAGCAAAGGGGGGACCAACTCCATTTTAATGCCCATGATTTTCGAATGAGATGGTTGACGAGCAGGTGTCCACATACTGTTGGTCATGTAGTGTATATCATCAATAATACTATTTATGTATGCCTATATAGCATTTGCAAAGTCATCAACAGCTATTGTTTCAATTCAACCCAGGGTTCAACTAAAAATAGACAATACATATAGGCCTAGGGTTTCAAGACTTTGTAAATACAACCCATATTTATTTGTACTTTAACTATTTGCACATTGTTACAACACTGTATATAGACATAATATGACATTTGAAATGTCTTTATTCTTTTGGAACTTCTGAGTGTAATGTTTACTGTTTATTTATTGTTTATTTCACTTTTGTTTACTATCTACTTCACTTGCTTTCACAATGTTAACATACGTTTCCCATGCCAATAAAGCCCTTAAATTGAAATTGAGAGAGAGAGTGAGAGTAAGAGTGAGAGTGAGAGAGAGCGCAGACTGTAGTTTCAGAATTCCCCTCCTACATTAATAGGACAGCAAAAGGCGTAACGCTCGCTCACCATAAAAAATACGTAGTTTTATTAGACAAGTTTAAAAGGCAAGTTTTCAGATTTATGGTGAGCTAGCGTTGCACCTTTCCCTGTCCAATGATGTCTACACATTTTTAGGTTGCACCTCTACTCACGTTGGTTGAGCACCTTCTACTTCTTTCCTCCTACATTAATAAAAATAGTCTCTGCCTCACTATTGGAAAGTGTAGAAAAGTGGAAAATTACTAATTAGTTCCCATGAAAAATCTACATAATACAGCCATCTGTTTCAAAGTAAGGTTTCCTCACCGAACTGAAGAGGCCTTTTGCCTTAGCAAGTGTAAACATCTATTTCTTTCCCCATGGCTCTGCATGTGACTCCTAGGTTATTATTAGCTATGAGCGATTTTGTGCATGTGTGCGTGCGTGAGAGTGGTGTAAGAGCTAGTAGGAAAGAGAGTGAGACCCTTGCTGTGTGTTTGTGCGTGTATGAGAGAGAAGATTAAGTAGTCTCAGTTTCTCTCTCTCTCTCACTCCCTCTGTCTCTCACTTCCCCCCCTCTCTCTCTCACTCCCTTCTCTCGCTCTCTCTCTCAATCCCTCTCTCTCACTCCCTCTGTCTCTCACTCCCCATCTCTATCTCTCTCTCTCCCCTCTCGCTCTCTCTCTCAATCCCTCTGTCTAGCTCTCTCTCACTCCGTCTCTCGCTCGCTCTCTCTCTCTCTCTCACCTCTCTCACCCCCCCCCCCCCCCTCTCTCTCTCTCGCTCTCAAATCAAATCAAATCAAATCAAAGCAAGCTGGTATGTACAATTCAATGTACTAAACCAGCGAAGGTTCACTGATGGCTCACCTCTCAACTTTTGCCAATGTCTGAAAGTATTTACTGAAATCATGTTAGACTCACAGTTCTGTTCTGAAAAGTACTATCCATATATTTTGTTTATTCCCAGTCATCAAGGATATTTGATAGATTCCTTAAATCAAATCAAATGTATTTGTCACATGCTTCTTAACTACAGGTGTAGACTAACAGTGACATGGTTACTTACGGCCCTTCCCAACAATGCAGAGAGAAAGAAAGAGAAATAATAGAAAAAATTATAACACAAGGAATAAATACACAATGAGTAACGATAACTTGGCTGTATACAGTTGAAGTCGGAAGTTTACATACACTTATGTTGGAATCATTAAAACTCGTTTTTCAACCACTCCACAAACTTCTTGTTAACAAACTATAGTTTTGTCAAGTCGGTTAGGACATCTACTTTGTGCATGACACAAGTAAGTTTTCCAACAATTGTTTACAGACAGATTATTTCACTTATAGATCACTGTATCACAATTCCAGTGGGTCAGAAGTTTATATACACTAAGTTGAGTGTGCCTTTAAACAGCTAATTGACATAATTTGAGTAAATTGGAGATGTACCTGTGGATGTTTTTCAAGTCCTACCTTCAAACTCAGTGCCTCTTTGCTTGACATCATGGGAAAATCAAAATAAATCAGCCAAGACCTCCACAAGTCTGGTTCATCCTTGGGAGCAATTTCCAAATGCCTGAAGGTACCACGTTCATCTGTACAAACAAGAGTACGCAAGTATAAATACCATTGGACCACGCAGCCATCATACCGCTCAGGAAGGAGACGTGTTCAGTCTCCTAGAGATGAACATACTTTGGTGCGAAAAGTGCAAATCAATCCCAGTACAACAGCAAAGGACCTTGTGACGATGCTGGAGGAAACAGGTACAAAAGTATCTATATCCACAGTAAAACAAGTCCTATATCGACATAACCTGAAAGGCCGCTCAGCAAGGAAGAAGCCACTGCTCCAAAACCGCCATAAAAAAGGCATCGTATTTTTTGGAGAAATGTCCTCTGGTCTGATGAAACAAAAATAGAACTGTTTGCCATAATGACCATCGTTATGTTTGGAGGAAAAAGGGAAAGTCTTGCAAGCCAAAGAACACCATCCCAACCGTGAAGCACGGGGGTGGCAGCATCATGCTGTGGGGGTGCTTTGCTACAGGAGGGACTGGTGCACTTCACAAAATAGATGGCATCATGAGGAAGGAAAATTATGTGGATATATTGAAGCAACATCTCAAGACATCAGTCAGGAAGTTAAAGCTTGGTCGCAAATGGGTCTTCCAAATGGACCCCAAGCATACTTCCAAAGTTGTGGCAAAATGGCTTAAGGACAACAAAGTCAAGGTATTGGAGTGGCCATCACAAAGCCCTGACCTCAATCCTATAGAAAATGTTTGGGCAGAATTGAAAAAGCGTGTGCGAGCAAGGAGGCCTACAAACCTGACTCAGTTACACCAGCTCTGTCAGGAGGAATGGGCCAAAATTCACCCAACTTATTGTGGGAAGCTTGTGGAAGGCTACCCAAAACGTTTGACCCGAGTTAAACAATTTAAAGGCAATGCTACCGAATACTAATTGAGTGTATGTAAACTTCTGACCCACTGGGAATGTGATGAAAGAAGTGAAAGCTGAAATAAATCATTCTCTCTACTATTATTCTGACATTTCACAATCTTAAAATAAAGTGGTGATCCTAACTGACCTAAGACAGGGAATTTTTACTAGGATTAAATGTCAGGAATTGTGAAAAACTGAGTTTAAATGTATTTGGCTAAGGTGTATGTAAACTTCCGACTTCAACTGTACACGGGGTACCATTAGTGGGTCTATGTGCAGGGGTATGAGGTAACTGAGGTACTGTACATAAAAATCTAAATAGTGAAACATTATCCTTTTTAGATAAAACTATACTAAATATATTCACGTCACCAAAGGTCTACAGTAGCCTCAACAGCACTCTCTGGGGTAGCACCAACCTAGGAGGCTCATGGTTCTCACCCCCTTCCAATGACTTACACAGTAATTATGACAACTTCTGGAGGACACCCTCCAACCTATCAGAGCTCTTGCAGCATGAACTGACATGTTGTCCAACCAGTCAAAGGATGAGAGAATTAATCTAATACTGAAAGCATAAACTACAGCTAGCTAGCATTGCAGTGTACAATGGATTAAAGTGAGCGTAAAGAAATCAATCTTTACCTTTTTTTGTTGAGTGCTCCAACTCCTTTTTACCTCAAATTACTCCTTTTGGAAATGTTTCTTGGTAAGCCATTCTCACAATAGTTGAACAGTTTTGAACAAATTAATTACTTCAAAAATTAGAGAGAGAGATTTAATTTTTTCACTTTCACGTAACGTTACTTAGCTAGTGAATGCAGCTAGCTAGTTTAGCCTACTCAAACACCCGGCTCAAACAGCTAGCTGGCTATGGCTATCCAACACTGGAACTCAAGGTAAGCTTTTGGTTTTATTAATCTGTTGCCACCGGTGCCCGCTGGTGTAACTGTTAAACTGATTGCTGTACACTGTACTGCATGATTGTAGTGGGTTTACTAATGCGTTAGTTCTAGTAGCTATGTTGTCATGGTGACAATGATGTAGGCTGTGTGAAGCAGTTAGCGGTTATGGTATGAAGGTTTGGCTTGGAAAGTTTTTTTTGCCTGGTCACAGCTGTTGTGTTGTGCACTGAAGTCCACAAGCGAAGGGAAAAGGTGAGAGGAGGATAGCACGTAGACGCGAGAAGGAATTATACAACGAGCAAAGTGGTCATGCTGTTTGTATATGGCTGCTATGAAAGTGAACTGTGTTTGTTATGACTTTTACTTCCTCTAGATAGTCAAGTTTGATCGTCTTCTCGTCACCCCTGATCATTCTGCCAGTTCTGTTGAAATACTTTTCTTAAATGGAAGTAAATTGAACGAAACTGGGATAAACATATCTGAATTTGTCCAATAGAAACTTTTGTTTGCAACTGTTTGGACTAATGATTACACCCTAGATGTCTGTCACCTTGATTACTCAAGTTTGTCTCTCGACCTGTGCACCTACAGTGCATTCGGAAAGTATTCAAACCCCTTAACTTTTTCCACATTTTGTTACGTTACAGCCTTATTCTCAAATGGATCAAATAAATGTTTTCCCTCATCAATCTACACACAATACCCCATAATGTAAATGCGAAAAAACAGGTTTTTAGAAATGTTTGCAAATGCATTAAAAATAAAAAACAGAAATACCTTACTTATATAAGTATTCAGACCCTTTGCTATGCGACTCGAAATTGAGCTCAGATGCATCCTGTTTCCATTGATCATCCTTGAGATGTTTCTACAACTTGATTGGAGTCCACCTGTGGTAAATTCAATTGATTGGACATGATTTGGAAAGGCACACACCTGTCTATATAAGGACCCACAGTTGACAGTGCATGTCAGAGCAAAAACCAAGCCATGAGGTCGAAGGAATTGTCCGTAGAACTCAGAGATAGGATTGTGTCGAGACACTGATCTGGGGAAGGGTACCAAAACAATTCTGCATCATTGAAGGTCCCCAAGAACACAGTGGCCTCCATCATTCTTAAATGGAAGAATTTGGAACCACCAAGACTCTTCCTAGAGCTGGCTGCCCGGCCAAACTGAGCAATCGGAGGAGAAGGGCCTTGGTCAGGGAGGTGACCAAGAACCCGATGGTCACTCTGACAGAGTGCTAGAGTTCCTCTGTGGAGATGGGAGAACCTTCCAGAAGGACAACCATCTCTGCAGCACTCCACCAATAAGGCCTTTATGGTAGAGTGGCCAGACGGAAGCCACTCCTCTGTAAAAGGCACATGACAGCCCGCTTGGAGTTTGCCAAAAGGCACCTAAAGGACTCTCAGACCATGAGAAACAAGATTCTCTAGTCTGATGAAATCAAGATGGCCTGAATGCCAAGCGTCACGTCTGGAGGAAACCTGGCACCATCCCTACGTTGAAGCATGGTGGTGGCAGCATTATGCTGTGAGGATGTTTTTCAGCGGCAGGGACTGGGAGACTAGTCAGGATCAAGGGAAAGATAAACGTAGCAAAGTACAGAGAGATCCTTGATGAAAACCTGCTCCAGAGCGCTCAGGACCTCAGACTGAGGCGATGCTTCACCTTCCAACAGGACAACAACCCTAAGAACACAGCCAAGACAATGCAGGAGTGGCTTCGGGACAAGTTTCTGAATGTCCTTGAGTGGCCCAGCCAGAGCCCGAACTTGAACCCGATCCAACATCTTTGGAGAGACCTGATAAATAGCTGTGCAGTGACGCTCCCCATCCAACCTGACAGAGTTTGAGAGGATCTGCAGAGAAGAATGGGAGAAATACAGGTGTGCCAAGGTTGTAGCGTCATACCCAAGAATACTCAAGGCTGTAATCGCTGCCAAAGGTGCTTCAACAAAGTACTGAGTAAAGGGTCTGAATACTTATGTGAATGTGATATTTCAGTTCTTTATTTGTAATACATTTGCTAAAATAAAATAAAAATAGTTTTTTGCTTTGTCATTATGGGGTATAGTGGGTAGATTGATGAGGGGGGAAAAAAACGATTTAATCCATTTTGGAATAAGGCTGTAACGTAAAATGTGGAAAAAGTAAAGGGGTCTGAATACTTTCCGAATGCATTGTAAACATTCATAGGCTAGGTTGTAGCAACCTCATGATGGGTATAGGAAAATGTTTGTATCATGTAGTAGCCTAAACCTATCATTTTTACATTTTACGTCATTTAGCAGACGCTTTTATCCAGAGCGACTTACAGTTAGTGAGTGCATACATCATTTTTTATACTGGCCCCCCCATGGGAATCGAACCCACAACCCTGGCGTTGCAAACGCCATGCTCTACCATCTGAGCTACATCCCTGCCGGCCATTCCCTCCCCTACCCTGGACGACGCTGGGCCCAATTGTGCGCCGCCCCATGGGTCTCCCGGTCGCGGCCGGCTACGACAGAGCCTGGATTCGAACCAGGATCTCTAGTGGCACAGCTAGCACTGCGATGCAGTGCCTTAGACCACTGCGCCACTCGGGAGATGTTACATTCAGCTGGGTGAATGGAATATGAGTGACAGTCATCCAATATGCTGTAATAGAAATAAGGCCATGCTCATTAATAAAATAATTATCCTCCCTAATCTTAAACGGCACCGACCGCCACTGTTGCATGTAGGTGGGGATAAAGTGACTAGGCAACAGGATAGATAAAAAACAGTAGCAGCGAATGTGATGAGTCAAAAGAGTTTAAAGGGAAAAGGGTGAATGGGAAGCTCTTGATTAACTATTTAACTAACTATTTAGCAGTCTTATGGCTCAGGGGTAGAAACTGTTCAGTGTCCTGTTGGTTCCAGACTTGGTGCATCGGTACCGCTTGCCATGCGGTAGCAGAGAGAACAGTCTATGACTTGGGTAGCTGGAGTCTTTGACAATTTTTAGGGCCTTCCTCTGACACCACCTGATATAGAGGTCCTGGATGGCAGGGAGCTCGGTCCCCAGTAATGTACTGGGCCGTACGCACTATCCTCTGTAGCGCCTTGCGGTCAGATGCCAAGCAGTTGCCATACCAAGTGGTGATGCAGCTAGTCAAGATGGTCTCAATGGTGCAGCTGTAGAACTTTTTGAGAAGCTGAGGGCCCATGCCAAATCTTTTCTGCCTTCTGAGGGGGAAGAGGCGTTGTTGTGCCTTCTTCACGACTGTGTTGGTGTGTGTGGACCATGATAATTCCTTAGTGATGTGGAGACCAAGGAACTTGAAGTTCTCGACCTGCTCCACTACAGCCCCGTCGAAGGGGATGGGGGTGTGCTCGGCCCTCCGTTTCCTGTAGTCCACGATCAACTCCTTTGTCTTGCTGACGTTGATGGAGAGGTTGTTGTCCTGGCACCACACTGCCAGGTCACTGACCTCCTACCTATAGGCTGTCTCATCGTCGTCGGCGATCAGGCTAACCGTTGTCGTGCTGTCAGCAAACTTAATGATGGTGTTGGAGTCATGCGCAGCCATGCAATCGTGGGTGAACAGGGAGTACAGGAGGGGACTAAGCACGCACCCGTGAGAGGCCCCTGTGTTAAGGGTTAGCTTGGCGGATATGTTGTTGCCTACCCTCACTACCTGGGGGCGGCCCGTCAGGAAGTCCAGGATCCATTTGCAGAGGGAGGTGTTCAATCCCAGGGTCTTGAGCTTAGTGATGAGCTTGGGGGGCACTAAGGTGTTGAACGCTGAGCTATAGTCAATGAACAGCATTCTCACGTAGGTCTTCCTCTTGTCCGGGTTGGCGAGGGCAGTGTGGCGTGCAATACAGATTGCGTCATCTGTGGATCTGTTGGTTGGTTTACGAATTGGAGTGGGTCCAGGGTTTCTGCGATGATGGTGTTGATGTAAGCAACGACCAGCCTTTCAAAGCATTTCATGGCTACAGATGTGAGTGCTATGGGGCAATAGTCATTTAGACAGGTTACCTTGGTATTATTGGGTACAGGGACTATGGTGGTCTGCTTGAAACATGTAGGTATTACAGACATGGTCAGGGAGAGGTTGAAAATGTCAGTGAAGACACTTGCCAGCTGGTCAGGGCATGCTCTGAGTATGCGTCCTGGTCATCCGGCTGGCCCTGCGTCCTTGTGAATGTTAACCTGTTTAAAGGTTTTACTCACATCGTCTACGGAGAGCGAGATCGCACAGTCATCTGGAACAGCTGGTGCTCTCATTTATGTCTTTCTGGAAATGTAATAAGGTCAATTAAAGTTGTGTGTGTTTGGGAAATCATGTGAATCAGGGGGTAACTGGACCATACTAGAACTCCCAGTGTCAGCAATGGCCTCAATCCTTTGCCAGATAGCCTAGAGCAGGGGTAGGCAACTAGATTCAGCCGCGGGCCGATTTTTGTCGGAGTGGATGGTCGGAGGGCTGGAACATAATTATAATAATTTGTACACTGAAAATTGACCACAACTAAGCCAAAAAGAGATTGTATTTGAAAATAACAATAATTGTATACCTTGATTACATTGAGACATGATCACGTTTTTTATTTTATTCACGGGAATGCTTGGGAACAGATTTCCTAAATTAAACTAATTTTTAGCTGAAGTCCTGGTGATGTTAGTCTTTCTTTACCTGAAATCCCCCCCAAAAAATCACTTGCGGGCCGCCTGTTCCCGACCCCTGGCCTAGATGCTCACTTGACCACACATGGTAGGGGCAACACACTCTCTGTGGGTCAAAGAGTTCACACTCCTTGTGCGTGTGTGTGTGTTTGTGGTGTGTGTTTGGACATGGCCAGTGTGGGTAGCTGTCCATGTTCCCAGACCACTGCCACCTGCCACCGTCTCTGGGCTGGTTGGGGATCAGGTTGTCAAAGGACAATTTAGAGTCAGACAACACCGTCTGGATCTAGCTGGAATGACTCAGAGCTGGTGTTTGTGCTTGCGTGTTTGTGTGTGCGTTTTACTTATTGGCAAATGAGAGTAGGAAACAGTAAAGTTGATATCACAGAGGATTTCACAGATGCCTCATTACACTGCTGAGAGGGGCTTTGTAAATAGATAAAACATGTGGCAAATAAGATATCAACATGAGATCCTTTATATTAAGGGCTGAGATTTGTTATAGAGCTGTGTGCTTTCGTTCCGAACATAGTCATTTGCATAATGATGTTTTGTCTAGATATGTGGACTCTTCCTCTTTTGCTGTTCAGTATGTAGTCTGAATCATATCTATCAAAGATCTTTAGGATAATCCCTCTACACAGACTAGATATTATTAAATCCCTCCTTTCCCTTGTTACATTGCATTGAGGGTGGTACTCAGTGGGGATTCTGACTGAGGGTCTGGGTAAGAGGCGGTGCTTTCTCTCTCTTTGACAGCCTCTGACCTACTTCCACCTGGGTTTCACAGCTTATAATGGTTTACCCTGAGCAGCATATCCAATTGCTAAGTGCGCTCTGAGCCGAGTGGGCCATCCTAAGTGTGTGCACAGGGGGCTGTACACAGTATAGGGGTTGGTTGTCACACGTGATCCTCTGTAGCTCAATTGGTAGAGCATGGCGCTTGTAATGCCAGGGTAGTGGGTTCAAAACCCGGGACCACCCATATGTAAAAATGTATGCACACATGACTGTAAGTCGCTTTGGCTAAATGGCATATTATATTATTATTATTATTATGGGGTTGGTTGTCACAGTGTTTGCTAGTAGCTTCTTCCTGTTGTAACAGGAAATTAAGCAATATAGTATACAGTCTTAGAAATAGCCTTTCTTTGATTTAACCATATTCCTGACAAAATTCAGCATTTTATGCCTTGATAATAACAGATGACATTTTGAGTAAATTTGTCTGTGTGTTTGCACATGCATGTGTGCTTGTGTGGTGTGACAGAAAAATAGGAAATGAAGGGAGCTCTTTATTCAGGATACATCACCATGAAGAGAATGACATTCATAATGATGCATTTCTGTATTGTACAGATCAGGGAACCATGATGTCATTCTGTTACCATCATTCGTTTACCATGGAATTGCCCACAACCAATGCCATTTTTTTAAATAATGGAGTTGAATGTGACAACCAACCCCACATTCCATGGGACAACCCCCGCTGCTAATTAAGATGCTATTACCACATGGCCTGACCTAGGAACTCAGAAGTAGGTTTGAAATATAGCTCTCCCTTTCCTATTTTCAACGAACATAATGGATACTCCCAAAATTCTAACATTTACAAAGAAAAGCTTTTTATTTATTTTTCCTTTTACCTATATATATATATATTTTTAATCTCCTCACTTCAATGTGTTTTCATGCTGATATGAATTGACCAGGTGGATGAGTTCTTTCAAATAATTCACACATTTTAACCTTAAAATTATTACACAGCACCATTTAGATTGGGTGCTGTGACAACCAACCCCGGTCTCCCCTAAGCCTTGTCCGAGCCAGAATGACCCATTGGGACAGGAGCCTGTCTCATGTTTCTGTAGCGTGAGACAGCTTATTGTTACTGTACATGTACACCACCTGGACACAACGCTAGTTGCTGCTGCTAACCCTGTGTATAAGAGTTAGACCACTTTGGTTACATTCTCAGACTACTGGCAGCACATGTATCTACCTTGGCAGATCAGTTGTGTTGTGTTTCACTGAGAGCAGGGAGACGAAGACTAAATGGAGGTCTGAAAGGAGTAAAAACAAAATGTGTTCACAACCAGAAGTAGGAAGACAGTAATTTATTTTGTGAAAGTCAATATTTACAAAGGCTTTGGTGTATGTTTAATTTAGCCTAATTCAAGTGGATCTTCAGAATATTGTTGTCCATGCTTGAACTTGTTACTCAAATTTATACAATGTATATTATTTTGGCTACTATTGGAAGAAAATGGGACGATAAAAAGCATTATGTCCTCCAACTAAACACAAATATCACTCGTACCTTTAACATTGCACTTGTATGATCCCCCTCTGTGTAGTCCTGAGACCTTGGACCTTGGCTCGGAACTCACCTCCCACACACAGCACCTGATCCCAGACCTGTTGGAGGATGTTGTGGATGGAGAGCCTGGCTGTGTTCTCACCTGCTCTGCTTATCCTAGACCAGCTGGGGAGCCTAGCCAACAGGATGAGGAAGATCCTGGATCAGCTGGGGAGCCTAGCCAACAGGAGGAGGAGGAGGATCCTGGACCAGCTGGGGAGCCTAACCAACAGGGGGAGGAGGATCCTGGACCAGCTGGGGAGCCTAACCAACAGGAGGAGGAGGATCCTGGACCAGCTGGGGAGCCTAACCAACAGGAGGAGGAGGATCCTGGACCAGCTGGGGAGCCTAACCAACAGGAGGAGGAAGATCCTGGACCAGCTGGGGAGCCTAACCAACAGGAGGAGGAAGATCCTGGACCAGCTGGGGAGCCTAGCAAACAGGAGGAGGAGGAGGATCCTGGACCAGCTGGGGAGCCTAACCAACAGGGGGAGGAGGATCCTGGACCAGCTGGGGAGCCTAACCAACAGGAGGAGGAAGATTCTGGACCAGCTGGGGAGCCTAACCAACAGGGGGAGGAGGATCCTGGACCAGCTGGGGAGCCTAACCAACAGGAGGAGGAGGATCCTGGACCAGCTGGGGAGCCTAACCAACAGGAGGAGGAAGATCCTGGACCAGCTGGGGAGCCTAACCAACAGGGGGAGGAGGATCCTGGACCAGCTGGGGAGCCTAACCAACAGGAGGAGGAGGAGGATCCTGGACCAGCTGGGGAGCCTAACCAACAGGGGGAGGAGGATCCTGGACCAGCTGGGGAGCCTAACCAACAGGAGGAGGAGGATCCTGGACCAGCTGGGGAGCCTAACCAACAGGAGGAGGAGGATCCTGGATGTCCCAGGGGAAGGTGGGTCTCTGTGGTGCTGTGGCACCGCCTTCATACTTCCTGAGTTTACCCCTCTCTGTCCCAGAGTTCCCGGGGGGTTGAAGATTACGTCAGTTAGTCACTCTGCCCCATATGACCCCTGCATCTGTTCACTTACTTTACATGCAGTTTAATCATTCATTAATGCTTCATTGTGATGTTCTTATCGAGAAGAACAAGGTGCTCCAACTTAACCTGCCTGCTCAAGTCTCAGGTCATTATAGTAGACAGGCTGTTTGGAAAAGTATTGAGGAATGCACTTCAGCTTGGATATTTCTTCCTGAGCAGGACAAGGTCACAACAGGAGGAAGACCCGGCCACCTCCTCCAGCATAAAGGAGGAAGAGTACGAGGAGACGGAGAGGGGCACAACCCCTTTAGCCATCTGTGGACTCATGGACCACAGTAAAGAAGACTATTACCAGGTGTGGTGAAGAGCTCTCAGCTCGCTCTACTCCCCACACTCTCGGGCGAGCTCGGAGAGCAGCGCGCGCGCGCGCGCGCGCGCGCGCGAGACGCGCGCCGCGAGCGCGCGGTCAGAGCGCGAGCGCGCGGCGCGAGCGCGCGCGACGGGCGCGCGCGCGCGCGCGAGCGCCGGACCCACGACGCGGCGCGCGAGCGCCCCACGAGCGAGGGCGCGCGCGGCGCGCGCGAGCGCGCGCGCGCGCGCGCGCGCGAGGCGCGCGCGCAGGCGCGCGACGCGCGCGCGCGCGCGCGCGCGCGCAGCGCGCGCGAGCGGCCCCACGACGCAGCGCGGCGCGCGCGGCGCGCGCGCGCGCGCGGCGCGCGAGGCGCGCGGCGCGCGCAGGCGCGCGCGCGAGGGCGCACCACGACGCGCGCGCGCGAGGCGCGAGCGAGCGCCCCACGACGCTCGCGCGCGAGGCGAGCGCCCGACGCGCGCGCGCGCGCGCGAGCGCCCACGACGCGCGGCTCTATCTCTCTATCTCCCCACTACTCTCTCTCTCTCTATCTCTCTCTATCTCCCCACTACTCTCTTTCTCGCTCTCTTTCAATCTCTCTCTCTCTCTCCCCACTACTCTCTCTCTCTCTATCTCTCTCTATCTCCTTCAATCTCTCTTGCTCTCCCTCTCTCTCACTCACACATCACTTTCCTCAATAACAATGCAAAACAAAGGATTGGTGATTCACCCTCAGCTCAACACACTTTAAGTGTATACATGTATTTACCACTGTATATTATTCAGTGATAGCCTAGACGTTAACATTGTCACACATCCAGAGCTATTTCTAAACCACAGTGTTATTATGACGTGCAACATGGCTCCCTATGAAGAAGTCTATAGAAAGAAAAAACGAGCTAATGAGCAGAAGTGCACATTCACTGAGATATGTTTGTTGAAATATGAATTGGTCACAATGGGTAAAATGCAGCAATAATTTATGTAAATATTCTCAGAGTACAAAATGGTACGGTATGTTTCATTTGATGAGTCTGTGTATAGTCTTTTGATAAAGACATTGTCCATACTGGGTTTTAGGATCATGACCCCTCCAGCTCTGAGCGCTCCAGGAGTGTAGCAGTGAGCTGGCAGGCTCAGGACACCCAGAACCAAGACCATCACAAAGACAGGTACAAGGCTTTTAGGGAAGAAATTATTTTATTTGTGTCAACAGAGATTACTTTCATGGTAATATCAATCACATGCAAAGGCTGAGGGAGTGGCCAAAACAGTAGAGGAAGTAGGAGTAAGTTATTTTGGGAATGATTTTGGGAATAAGGCACGTATTCTCTCACTGCTGGCTGCTAGCATTTGTTTACTGGCTGATTCACAGGCATCACTAAGCCTATTGCAACAGTCCCATCAAATCAAGACAAGTCTTCTCTAATGATTGACTATAATGACTCATATGGTATAATAAAATGATCACAACAGAACAATCATATTTCAATGCTCAAATCTATTTGAATTGGTGTGCTTTGAAAGACGCCTTAACCGAACCACTTTTTCACCTTCATGTTGAAAACAAAAAGATGAAGGCCAGCGGCAACAGCCACAGAATGGTGGTATCTCTGCTGCTAGTGTTAGTGGTTCTGTGATGGTGAGGAGAGAGAGAAGTGGCAGCTGTACTGATCTACTGCTCTTATGGCCCAATCCAAATGTAGCATCTTTGATTTGGACCGGAACAATCTTTCGGCTGGAAACCTCTGCCATGAGGTAGTCCTGAAAGACACAATAACCTTTTAGATATTCCTACAGTAGCAACATGAGATGAGGGCAGACCCCTGAATGATGGGGGTAGGTTTTGTTGGGTGAGATGAGGGCAGTGGAAGGTAGACCCCTAAATGGCAGGTACTCCAAGACTGATCTGCTCTCACCATGTAACCATGGCACCTCGCTCTCTCAATCAGCCTGATTGCCCACAGCAGGAGGTGGGCAGGGTCTTAGCTGGGTCTCGGGGTCACCAGGACCAGCTCAGGGCTGGTGCCAATCCGGACCATGGTCAGGTAAAGGAACAGAAAATACATTCTGCCCCTAGCCAGACAGAGAGACACAGGGAACATGTCAAATTAGTCAATGCTGTCTGTGCCTGAGGTATAGACAGAAATACAGACCAGAAACTGTACAATATTCTGATCACGCTACAACACTGAGGTGATAGTCTGTCTTTTGTTGAATGAGCCAAGACAGTTAGCCTAGTATTCATTGTGGTTGTAAAGAAAAATTCTAGTCAATGTGTTTTTCTATGGGTCTCCTTACGTGGGCAGTGCCATGTCCTGAAGGTAGGTGGGCAGGTATCTCCAGGGATGGAGGACCTCACACCCCTCAGCCCACAATAGACGCAGAGGCCTTTTCAGGCTGATGACTGGATTTTTCCGTTAAGTCCCTCATGAGGATCCTGTAGCCTGGGGAAGACAGGCATCCTGGTCCATCTTTCTGCAGGTGCAGGGCCACACACCAGGTGCCCCCAGCCACCTGCGATATCAGCAGCTCCCTCAACCAGTCTTATCTCTTCTGGACCATCAAATGTGCATCAATGTCTTCAAGGAGTTGCTTCCTCAAGTTTGTCTTTGCAGTGCACATCCAGTTGGAGTTGGAAGTTTACATAACCTTAGCTAAATACATTTCTAATTTCATCACATTCCCAGTGGGTCAGAAGTTTACATACACTCAATTAGTATTTGGTAGCATTGCCTTTAAATTGTTTAACTTGGGTCAAATGTTTTAGGTAGCCTTCCACAAGCATCCCACAATACGTTTGTTGAATTTTGGCCCATTCCTCCTGACAGAGCTGGTGTAACTGAGTCAGGTTTGTAGGCCTCCTTGCTCGCACACACTTTTTCAGTTCTGCCCACACATTTTCTATAGGATTGAGGTCAGGGCTTTGTGATGGCCACTCCAATACCTTGACTTTGTTGTCCTTAAGCCATTTTGCCACAACTTTTAAAGTACGCTTGGGGTCATTGTCCATTTGGAAGACCCATTTGCGACCAAGCTTTAACTTCCTGACTGATGTCTTGAGATGTTGCTTCAATATATCCACATAATTTTCCTTCCTCATGATGCCATCTATTTTGTGAAGTGCACCAGTCCCTCCTGCAGCAAAGCACCCCCACAGCATGATGCTGCCACCCCCGTGCTTCACGGTTGGGATGGTGTTCTTTGGCTTTCAAGACTTTCCTTTTTTCCTCCAAACATAACGATGGTCATTATGGCCAAACAGTTCTATTTTTGTTTCATCAGACCAGAGGACATTCCTCCAAAAAGTACGATCTTTGCAAACCGTAGTCTGGCTTTTTTATGGCGGTTTTGGAGCAGTGGCTTCTTCCTTGCTGAGCGGCCTTTCATGTTATGTCGATATAGGACTTGTTTTACTGTGGATATAGATACTTTTGTACCTGTTTCCTCCAGCATCTTCACAGGGTCCTTTGCTGTTGTTCTGGGATTTATTTGCACCAAAGTACGTTAATCTCTAGGAGACAGAACGCGTCTCCTTCCTGAGCGGTATGACGGCTGCGTGGTCCCCTGGTGTTTATACTTGCGTACTATTGTTTGTACAGATGAACGTGGTACCTTCAGGCATTTGGAAATTGCTCCCAAGGATGAACCAGACTTGTGGAGGTCTACAATTCTTTTTCTGAGGTCTTGGCTGATTTATTTTGATTTTCCCATGATGTCAAGCAAAGAGGCACTGAGTTTGAAGATAGGCCTTGAAATACATCCACAGGTACACCATGAAATGATGTAAATTAGCCTATCAGAAGCTTCTAAAGCCATGACATCATTTTCTGGAATTTTCCAAGCTGTTTAAAGGCACAGTCAACTTAGTGTATGTAAACTTCTGACCCACTGGAATTGTGATACAGTGAAAAAATCTGTCTGTAAACAATTGTTGGAAAAATTACTTGTGTCATGCACAAAGTAGATGTCCTAACCGACTTTCCAAAACTATAGTTTGTTAACAAGAAATTTGTGGAGTGGTTGAAAAACGAGTTATAATGACTCCAACCTAAGTGTATGTAAACTTCCGACTTCAACTGTACTGTCCTCTTCTCCATTTCCCTTTTGCTCTGATTTGTCTTCCTATTCTCATGGCTCTCCTGTGCCTTATGGCACCTGAAAAGTCAGCAGAAATCCATGATCTTGGCACCTGAAGAGTCCACAGAAACCCATGAGCAAACTTACATTTTAGTCATTTAGCAGACATTCTTATCCAGAGCGACTTACAGCATACATCATTTTTTTATTTTTCATACTGGCCCCCCGTGGGATTCAAACCCACAACCCTAGCGTTGCAAATGCCATGCTCTACCAACTGAGCTACATCCCTGCCGGCCATTCCCTCCCCTACCCTGGACGAATTGTGCGCCGCCCCATGGGTCTCCTGGTCGCGGCCGGCTACGACAGAGCCTGGATTCAAACCAGGATCTCTAGATGCAGTACCTTAGACCACTGCGCCACTCTGGAACTTAGGACCAAGATTCCAAATAATGGACCTAGCAACGAACTAGCCTGATTGTCATCATTACAATGCCACAGAAAAGGGATATTAAAACAATTCTACAAGACAAGCATAAATAATGTACTCAGTTTCTGAAGCATTATCCCTCATTCATAATATATTATTTGCCCACTTAACTAAATAGGTATTAACTGATGTTAAGAATGAAAGGATACATAATAATGTATTCAACTTCTATAGCGCTTTTCATTACAGACAAAATCTCAAAGCGCTTCAAAAGCCATAACCAATAAAAAATTATGACAAGGCTACAACAATTGTAGCTAGGTCAGACATAGTTGTGTAGAAACAGGAGTTCTAAATTAGGACCAGCCAGACAAATCTGTGCCTATGCCTTTCCTTTGTATGTTGTTTTGAATTCAGCATTGGTGTCCTGCATCTCAGATTCTCTCCACTAGCTGAGCTCAGTGCTGCAGAAGTAGGTTACCAGAACACAGCAGTGCCTACAGTCATGACTCGGATATGATTCCAGTCCAAATAACGTCAGTCATCTCTAGTCACGTGGAACACACACTTACCCAGTACTCTAGCAGGGTGGCACAGAACTGCCTGTAATGTACTGTTGCTAAATGCAGCTAAATGCTTCATTGATGTAACTAATTGTTATTGTATGGAACTAAATACAGTGGGGGAAAAAAAGTATTTAGTCAAATCAAATCAAATCAAATCTTATTGGTCACATGCGCCGAATACAACAGGTGCAGACATTACAGTGAAATGCTTACTTACAGCCCTTAACCAACAGTGCATTTATTTTTCACATAAAAAAAAAACAACAACAAAAAAAGTGTTGAGAAAAAAAAGAGCAGAAGTAAAATAAAATAACAGTAGGGAGGCTATATATACAGGGGGGTACCGGTGCAGAGTCAATGTGCGGGGGCACCGGCTAGTTGAGGTAGTTGAAGTAATATGTACATGTGGGTAGAGTTAAAGTGACTATGCATAAATAATTAACAGAGTAGCAGCAGCGTAAAAAGGATGGGGTGGGGGGGCAGTGCAAATAGTCCGGGTAGCCATGATTAGCTGTTCAGGAGTCTTATGGCTTGGGGGTAGAAGCTGTTGATAAGTCTTTTGGACCTAGACTTGGCACTCCGGTACCGCTTGCCGTGCGGTAGCAGAGAGAACAGTCTATGACTAGGGTGGCTGGAGTCTTTGACAATTTTGAGGGCCTTCCTCTGACACCGCCTGGTATAGAGGTCCTGGATGGCAGGAAGCTTGGCCCCAGTGATGTACTGGGCCGTACGCACTACCCTCTGTAGTGCCTTGCGGTCGGAGGCCAAGCAGTTGCCATACCAGGCGGTGATGCAACCAGTCAGGATGCTCTCGATGGTGTATAATTTTTGGAGGATCTGAGGACCCATGCCAAATCTTTTCAGCCACCAATTGTGCAAGTTCTCCCACTTAAAAAGATGAGAGAGGCCTGTAATTTTCATCATAGGTACACGTCAACTATGACATACAAATTGAGGAAAAAAAATCCAGAAAATCACATTGTAGGATTTTTTATGAATTTATTTGCAAATTATGGTGGAAAATAAGTATTTGGTCACCTACAAACAAGCAAGATTTCTGGCTCTCACAGACCTGTAACTTCTTCTTTAAGAGGCTCCTCTGTCCTCCACTCGTTACCTGTATTAATGGCACCTGTTTGAACTTGTTATCAGTATAAAAGACACCTGTCCACAACCTCAAACAGTCACACTCCAAACTCCACTATGGCCAAGACCAAAGAGCTGTCAAAGGACACCAGAAACAAAATTGTAGACCTGCACCAGGCTGGGAAGACTGAATCTGCAACAGGTAAGCAGCTTGGGAGCAATTATTAGGAAATGGAAGACATACAAGACCACTGATAATCTCCCTCGATCTGGGGCTCCACGCAGGATCTCACCCCGTGGGGTCAAAATGATAATAATAATATGCCATTTAGCAGACGCTTTTATCCAAAGCGACTTACAGTCATGCGTGCATACATTTTTTGTGTATGGGTGGTCCCGGGGATCGAACCCACTACCTTGGCGTTACAAGCGCCGTGCTCTACCAGCTGAGCTACAGAGGACCGAGATCACAAGAACGGTGAGCAAAAATCCCAGAACCACACGGGGGGACCTAGTGAATGACCTGCAGAGAGCTGGGACCAAAGTAACAAAGCCTACCATCAGTAACACACTACGCCGCCAGGGACTCAAATCCTGCAGTGCCAGACGTGTCCCCCTGCTTAAGCCAGTACATGTCCAGGCCCGTCTGAAGTTTGCTAGAGTGCATTTGGATGATCCAGAAGAGGATTGGGAGAATGTCATATGGTCAGATGAAACCAAAATATAACGTTTTGGTAAAAACTCAACTCGTCGTGTTTGGAGGACAAAGAATGCTGAGTTGCATCCAAAGAACACCATACCTACTGTGAAGCATGGGGGTGGAAACATCATGCTTTGGGGCTGTTTTTCTGCAAAGGGACCAGGACGACTGATCCGTGTAAAGGAAAGAATGAATGGGGCCATGTATCGTGAGATTTTAAGTGAAAACCTCCTTCCATCAGCAAGGGCATTGAAGATGAAACGTGGCTGGGTCTTTCAGCATGACAATGATCCCAAACACACCGCCCGGGCAACGAAGGAGTGGCTTCGTAAGAAGCATTTCAAGGTCCTGGAGTGGCCTAGCCAGTCTCCAGATCTCAACCCCATAGAACATCTTTGGAGGGAGTTGAAAGTCCGTGTTGCCCAGCGACAGCCCCAAAACATCACTGCTCTAGAGGAGATCTGCATGGAGGAATGGGCCAAAATACCAGCAACAGTGTGTGAAAACCTTGTGAAGACTTACAGAAAACGTTTGACCTGTGTCATTGCCAACAAAGGGTATATAACAAAGTATTGAGAAACTTTTGTTATTGACCAAATACTTATTTTCCACCATAATTTGCAAATAAATGCATTAAAAATCCTACAATGTGATTTTCTGGATTTTTTCCCTCATTTTGTCTGTCATAGTTGACGTGTACCTATGATGAAAATTACAGGCCTCTCTCATCTTTTTAAGTGGGAGAACTTGCACAATTGGTGGCTGACTAAATACTTTTTTTCCCCCACTGTATGTGTTATTTCAGAGTTTTGATGTCTTCACTATTATTCTACAATGTAGAAAATAGTACAAATAAAGAAAAACCCTTGAATGAGTAGATGTGTCCAAACTTTTGACTGGTACTGTAGGTAACCACACCGTGACTACAACTAAGTTACTAAGTCTTTGACCACACTACGCTGTTACTTTGGTGAGTAAAAACTCATCCTACCTCATCAACCAACATCATCCCTCATTTTGTCTGTCATAGTTGACGTGTACCTATGATGAAAATTACAGGCCTCTCTCATCTTTTTAAGTGGGAGAACTTGCACAATTGGTGGCTGACTAAATACTTTTTTCCCCCACTGTACTTCATTGATTTAACTTATGATAATTGTAGCCTTCACCATTAATTGAAAAGCATTATATTTTTTATAACCCAGGGCTCTTAGCCTGCATTTACAAAGGCATCCCAATTCTGATATTTTTTCCACTAATTGTTCTTTTGACCAATCACATCAAATCTTTTCACATCAGATCTTTATCAAAACTGATCTGATTGGTCAAAAGACTAATTAGTGAAAATAATATAAAAATTGGTTGCCTGTGTAAACGCATCCTTCGTCAAAACCACTTATGTTAGTCAGATATTATGATAGTCAGATATTATGTTATCCCAATAAAAATTATATTAATATGCCCATTCTGACCTGTAACAAATGCAATCATATAACATTTTTATTTATTTACTGTGATAACTTTGCAGTTGATTTCTTTCAATTTAAAATGTTAAATTTTCAGCATGACCCGATTACAGATGGCCGATGGAATAAACCTGTCTGACTCTGAAAAGGTAACTATATCCTCTGAAAGTCAACATAGTATTTAATTTATGACATGAGACAGGAGATCAAGTTACATCTTATAATTCATGATGAGAAGACTGACATGCATATCGGTCAAATACAACAACAAAAACATGTTGATGTGTGGGTATTTTTGAACGGCTCAGAATATAATTGTTCACTTCCGTTCTCATATTAGATTATTTAATTATAGATATGGGTCTTTTTTATTTCTAGTATACAGTATATATTTTCTGAAGTGGAATACTTTTGTATTGGCTATTGGCTAGTGTGTGTGTCCATACAGGTTAGTGTGTGTTAGCGTGTGTGTTAGCGTGTGTGTTAGTGTGTGTGTTAGCGTGTGTGTGTGCTTGAGTAACAGCCCCCTCCCTCTCCTCTTTCTCCTCTCTGACGCACACAGCGAGAGGGAGGGTCTAGAACATCACCAAATCATGAACCCCCCTTTTCCCTCTATCCCTCACCCTAGCCCATATTTATGCGTAAAAAGCCATTTTACCCTAGTACTGCTGCTGACAGAACAACCCATGTCGACTCACCACTGCTGCTCACACTGAGCTAACAACGTCAGCCTCCCTGCTCTCCAATTAGAATGCTCAGCCTCACAATGTTACCAAGGAGACGCACCCCCACATCATATTCCCACACTCATGGTTTTCCCGACGTTTCCCTGGCGCTATGAATAATCCATGTGGAGGAGTGCAGGAAAGCAGACAGACTGAAAAAACAGGGAAAACATATATATGGATTCTACTGAATCAGGGAATAAGAAGAACACACAGTGATACTACGCCCGAAGGGATCTCACCGTTCTGAGGAACCAGAGAACGCTGTCACACACACAGGGATCTAACGACTGAGATCACATATGGATCCAGGTCTGAGGAAACCTGGGAGAGAGCAGAACTGAGACGAGCCCCATTACGTGACCGCTAACGTCACGTCTTACGCCCCCATAACTGAGGTGTGGGGCACACGGACACAACACAGGATCGCTTCCCCTCAGGACAAGCCCAGGGCCAGCATCAGGCTTTCGCCAACTACCTTCTCCAACCTCTCCACCCCAGACAGGGAGTCAGCACCCTCCCCCAGACCCTTCATTCTGAAGACATGTTCTGCTTCTGTTTCCAGAGCCCGACCCTCAAGCAGCAAGCTCTGGAGGCTGAGCTGTGCCCTTCGCCCCCCGGAACCCCCCAGGAGGACCTGGAACACCCCCCTTGTACCAAAGACTACCAGAGCCTAACCCCAACACCCCACTCCCTCCCAAAACAGGAACAGGACATCATCAGCGCCTCACTGACAGGTAGGAGAACAGCACCTTCCCTCTCCCTAATTTTCTTTGATCTCTTTATCAACCCTCGTCTCCTTGTGAGTATATTTGTTATTCTTGTACTGTGTGATATCTTGTACACTATGATATATAGTGCTTGTTTAAGTGAATCAATCGCCTCTCTTCATCTGTCTTCATTAGTCTTATGGTTAGTATCAGCCTAATGGATGATATAAGCTCTCTCAGTATTCGCTTTGGGTGGGTGTGTCTCATGCTTGCTAGTCGAGTCACGATGCACTAGGATGCTATAGATACAGTAGGAGCATTGGCCCATATTCACGAAGCGTGAAGGAGTGCTCGTCTACGATAAAACAATGTTTTTATCATAATGAATAGGGGGGGGGGGGGGGGGGGGGGCTGACCCTAGAACAGCATTTTTACTCAGAGACTCTTTATGTATACGGGCCATTGTGTGTATACGGGCTGATATATTTAGACTATGTTCTGGATATGAAGTACTGAGTGTACAAAACATTAAGAACACGTTCCTAATATTGAGTTGCCAAGGTGTCGAAAGCGTTCCACAGGAATGCTGGACCCTGTTGACTACAATGCTTCCCACAGTTGTGTCAAGTTGGCTGGATGTTCTTTGGGTGGTGGACCATTGTTAATACACATGGGAAAGTGTTGAGCGTGAAAAACCCAGCAGCGTTGCAGTTCTTGGCACCTGCTACCATACCCCGTTCAAAGGCACTTAAATATTTTGTCTTGCCCATTCACCCTCTGAATGGCACACATACATAATCCATGTCTCAAATGTCTTAAGGCTTAGAAATCCTTCTTTAACCTGTCTCCTCCCCTTCATCTACACTGATTGGAGTGGATTTAACAAGTGACATCAATAAGGGATAATAGCTTTCACCTGGATTCACAGTCTATTTCATGGAAAGAGCAAGCATTCCTAATGTTTTGTACACTCAGTGTATAATATAATATATGCCATTTAGCAGACACTTTTATCCAAAGCGACTTACAGTGAGTCATGCGTGCATACATTTTATGTATGGGTGTTCCTAGGAATCGAACCCACTACCCTTGTGTTATAAACACCATGCTCTATCAACTGAGCTACGAAGGACCAAAGTGAAGGACTGAAGTGAAGTCAGTTGTTTTTGACTAGTAGGACAGGTGCACAATTACACGGCTAGCTTTTTTATAATTTCAAACCTGTTATGTCTTCATTTCATTTCTGTACTTTGACCCCTGTTGTCTCTCTCCCTCCTCCCTCTCTGTCAGAAGCCAGTCCGGTCCAGAGACCCTCCGTGTCTCTCTCTGAGGGCAGTAGCAGTGAGTGTCTGATGACCCCTGGTCCCAGTCCTCTCCTCCAGCGCCTCGCAGCGGGTGACTGTCCCGTACCATCCCCCCGCAGCCACAACCTCAGCCAGGGCCACCGCTTTAACACGGACCCTGAAACAGCCCCCTCCCCACCCTGCTCACAACACATCAGGATGTATGAGACTGTGACCAAGTGTTGTGTGTTTGTGTTTGGTTTTTGCGTTAGTGTGTGTGGTGGTGCTGGATGTGTCTGTACAATATGTAAAGGATATAAAAATGTAAAAAATGTAAATGTAAATAATCATGGGAACTTACCGTTCTAGCTCTCCCTCCCTCCCCAGGGCTCACTACACAGTGAGGACTGAACCAGCAGAGGGCGCTAACAAGGCCCCATCGGTCACGATGCTCAACAGACACATCCAGAACCTGAGGAAGAGGATCAGACGCTTCGAGGAGCACTTTGAGCAAGAGAGACAGTACAGGGTGAGACAGTAAAACCATGAAACATGATTTACAACCCCATTATAGCCCAGAGCCCAACCTTTTAGTTTCTGAATGAATCCATGGTTTGACTGATGAGGGTTTTAGTACAGACTGTCTCATAAAGACAAAGGAATTGATTTCCTCCTGCTGAGTCAAAGAATCAAAGCCACAGACAGTCATATCTCCTCTCCCTCTATTCCAGGCCAGTTTAGACTGGTTCAAACCACTCTCTCTTTCTGTCTGTCTGTCTCTCAGCTGTCTGGGGGTGAGAACCAGACTTGACTTCAGTTTCCTTTTCTAAAGCGCCAACTCAGCCCCAATACCAGCTGCACACAGCCTTAGGAAAAAGTTGTTGGTCTGGAAACTGAATTCTAGTTTTTCTAAATCGCGTACAAGCATTTTTTGGAACAATGTTGTCGATTTTCAAAACGTCAAGCTGTAAAGGTGCAAACATTATGGGCAATTGCTCTCCTTTTATGCATATTTCACCAAGAAATTTCATACAGATCAAATCAAATATTATTACTGATAAAAATGTAGTGCAAAATAAGCACATTGTTTGCAGAAATAGTGAACACAATTACACAAATGTATCTTCTGATGAAAACAATGTGTTATATTCTGTGAACAGAACACTTAACAGTGCTTTTTTTTCCTACTGATGACATTTGTATTGAATGTTTTGCAAAAGGTGGTCTAAGATATACAAATCAGTTACTAAGGTAAGAACATGATCAGAAGTTCTGTAAATGTATTTAAGCATTTGATTATTGCTGTTTTGCTATAGATACGTTTCAACACAGATCCAAAAATTGCTTGTACACGATTGAGAAAAACTGTAATCCGATTCAAGGACAAGACTTCACCTACTGGATGTTTTCAACCATTACACTTATTTTTTCCAGGCCTGTACTTCTTCTTCCAGTATTGCACATTCATTTAGTGTGGCTCCACCTGGTGTTTATACACTGATAATAACGATAGGATATAGTTTGCCAGATACAGTATGATGAACATACTTTTTTCTATGTGTAATATATTCATGTGGTGTGTGTTGTTTTTCTGTGACAGCCAGCACACAATGATAGGACTGCCCATCCTGAGGTGTCTAGGCTGATGCGGGACCTCACCAAGTCTCGAAAGCAGCTCAAAGGTGAGTCCTTGACAAGGTGCAATCAGATGCATTTAGAAAACCGTGTGAGTAGCCGCTGAAGGGAAAGAATGTAACACCATCTGGTGGCTGTATAAATAATGTTGTTTGTTTGTTATTTATGCCATTTTGATGTTGTTGCTTTGTGGAGGAGGGACATGTATTCTGAATCTAGATTGATATTTGTATGGGTGTTCTATATTATCAAATGGAACCTCTGTGTCTGTGTAGAGCTGAAGCTGAAACAGTGTGCAGAGGGGCTCAGAGAGCAGCAGAGAGGAGGGAACACAGGGCCATGCAGGTCCACCAGTGACCCCCAGGGGGCGATGGAGCACTACCACAACAGTAACAACAAACCCTCACTTGAGGAGACTGTCGATAGTCTGATCAAGAGACTGATGGAGAAACGAGAGGAGGAGGGACTGCCAGATAACATCAAGGTAAAACGCCACATAGTGAATTACCAGGTAATGCGATGGAAATGTACATATAGGCTATGAAAGGACCTATTCTCTTACCAAGATTAGGCTACTCTTGATTAGCTGAGGGTGTTATTCTGTCATTGTAACTCTGGTGTGGTGTATTACTGTTTGGTTCTGGCCTGGTGTCTGACTGTATTACCACTGGTGTGTTCCTGCAGGAGATGACTCCGGCTCAGATGGCTGTGGAGAAGGTCACCCTGCAGAAGTGTCTACTCTACTTTGAGAGCCTGTATGGGCGACCGGTAAGACTGCCCAGTGTTCCTTGTAAATGTCCTATTTTGTGTAGCCTCTCAATGACAATTGCATATTGTTTTGATTGTTGTTGTTTTTTATCGCGTATGTGTGTGTTTTCAGAGCACCAGACAGGAGAAGACTCTGATGAAGTCTTTCTATGATCGCTACCGCCAGGTCAAACAGCAGCTCCTGTGTCCCCCCACCACCATCCCTGTCATCACCACCATAGTGAGTCTCTCTCTCTCTCACACACACACACATACACACACACACACACACACACACACACACACACACACACACAGTCTCTCAGCCTCTGTGCTCTGTTTCCCTACAGGAGGAAGAGGAGGGTTCTGATGAAGAGTGTGTGAAGGACAGCCCCTGGCTACCTCATACAGCGCTGCGCTGTGTGTCTTCAGATGAGTCACTGCGTCTGCCGCAAAATGAGGTGACCAACATGCCTCTCGTGTCACCTCTGGAGGAGCTCAAAGGTCTACAGCCACCCAGCGTCACCACGGCAACACTGCACGAGGCATCAAGGTATGCCCGCCCCGGTTTAACTTCTCTTGCTAGTGCATAGGGGTTGATTTGGGATTGGGCAAGTGAAGTGTTGAGGCCTTGCTGTATGTATTCAGTCCTCTTCCTGACCCCTCCTACTGTACTGTAGGTCAGAGTTACTGGAGCAGCTGAGGGTGACGCGAGCTGAGAAGAAGAGACTCCGTTCAGTACTCCGAGACTTTGAGGACCACTTCTACACACAGACCGGCAGGTAAGACTCGTTACACTTCACGGTTTGCTTTTCCTTTAATAAACTGGAACATTTGGTATTCATAGTTCAACAATGCCTTGTGAAAAATAAAATAAAACATCCACCAAAAGAATTCAGCAGAATGACACAACAGCGTGATGCACATTTACTGACTTTAACACGACACAAATAAGTACTTGGGAGAGAGACAGAGAGATAGAGACAACTGCTCTGAACTATACACATCTTTTGTACATGTAGCGGTTTTTGAAAGTAAAATAAAATGTTCTGAATACAATACTCACTGTACAAAGTTATCTGAATAAGGCAACACAGGGACTATACCAGTAAAGGAAGCTGCAGCTTGTCTGAAATGTTAAGTTAGTATTTTTCTCTTCCTCGTCATTAAAGGGCTGCCCAAAAAGAGGACCGCGGGCCCATGGCAGAGGAGTACTGCGAGTACAAGAACCTAAAAGCTAAACTCCGCTTGCTGGAAGTCCTGCTCAGTAAACGGGATACTCCAAAGACTGTCTGAGCCTCCTTCACAGTGGGACTTTTATTTTGAAACAGTTTTTTTTTTGGCTCACTTATAGGATACATTTTTTTCTGAACACATTTCAAAGTGAGATACCGGTGCTTACATGGTGATGCACTTTAAATGACTTTGATGTTGACTGACTCTCACTTTGGTTAAGAGTGATGGCAAGATGATCCGAGAGTTGATGGGCAACATCCAGCTATTTTTAGTCCCTTAACAAGTCCTTTGTTATTCATGACAAATTATAATTATTTTATGCAACTGATGTAATTATAATATTTTATGCAACTGATGTAGCGAGTGTAACACTTTCATTTTAAGGAAAAAAGAGAACTAACAAATCACAGTTGATGTTAGATAAATGTTATCAATTTCTAAGCTATTTTATGGCACTTTATTGTTACTTGCATTTTGTTCTCGCCAAACTAATGTCGGTATAACAGGTACCTACATGGTCTACTACGTTAAAATGCTGCGCTTTGAAAAGTGCAATCTTGGCAAGGAGGATATGTCATCCAAATACACAATCTGACAATCCTGTAGAATGTTTGTGCATGTCAATCAGTTTTTAGTCCCACATTGTACTATGATATGTAATAGTTCATAGTTGATATGATGAATTGTGGCAATTCAAGTTATACATTACCTTGAAAAAAAAAAAGTGTGAATGTTGGCATTGTGCAAGTTACTCCTGCAGTCAAATCTGTGTTCTCCTTTTTGTGTTTTTCATCCAAAAATGCCATTATTTAATAGGATCAGAGCTCTTGACATTGTGCACTTCTGGTTTATATATGTGTATATATCAGTCAAAAATAAATATTTTTTCACATTTACTTGACTTTGCAGAAAGGTAGCTATGGTAGAGGAACTGACAGTTAGACTCAGTTTTCAAAGTCATGCTGCACATACTGCATCATGCTCTTAATGGTTACCAAGTAGTTCAACTTGATCTCCGACTTAATATGCTTTTTAGTGGCTGCATTAGTATTGTTATTCTACAGCAAGTTGTCCTTTTGTGTTACCTTGGGCATAAAGATGATGACACTGCAGCCCTAAATTAGTACCAGTCTCTGCCGATAGAGGGAGGGAGTAACTTAGATCTGTCGGATCTGAAACCAAACTAACGCCTTCCAGGAGAGACGGAAAAACAGGAACACAACCTTCTGTCTACCTGGACTGAAGTGAACAACAGAAAATTAGAAGAGGTCAAAGGGAGAAGGAGACGTTTGAAAAACAACAGGAGAGAAAATCAATGAGAAAAGCTGTGTGAATACATGCACGGAAACAATGTTTGGTTAGAACATTTAAAGGGATCAGTCAGTGTTGGCGTGTAGTGCGGGTTTGGATGATGCTGACCAAGGGTTGTTAGGGTCCCACACTTAAGCTGTAGATCTTTCAGTTGGGGAGCCTCCCTATTTTGCATGGTTTCTCTTCTGATGGGAAAGGGGAGGGATGAATAGAATGCCACACTTTTGGGAGGATGGTTCCTATGAGGTTGAAAAGGAGGATGGAATGTGTGTGTGTGTGTGCTAATGGAATGGGAGTTCTAGCACCCTACCCTGTTGTTACATTTCTTTCACAGTCTGGGTCCCTCTCCTGCAATGTTCTTCTTTTGGGAGGGTGGTCCTTTGTGGATATAGAGGTGTGTAAAGGTTGGGGTTGCGTGTGTGTACGTCTGTGTAGCACAGGTGCAGTCCAGTCCAGACTCCCACTAGCGTCCCACGCTGATGTTGCAGGTCTTGCAGCTGGGGTCCTTCTTGGCGTTGACGGTAGACAGGCTCATGAGCTGGTGCCCGCTGATCTCTGCCACTGTGCCAAGCGTCAGGTCCACGGGCTCTGTGTAGATCACCTCCAGGATCACATCCTGGGCATGCCGGAACACCAGCGCCCCGTCGCCCGCCTCCTCGTCCACCGTGCAAGTCAGGAAGTGGTTGTTGGTGATGTCGAGCGCTTGAAGCCTTGCCTTACAGAAGTCATCGCCGTGCGAGCCCTGTGGAGCCAGTACTAGGATGACGTAGTGGTAGGCCGTGTACATGCAGTAGAAGTCCCCGAAGTAGAGGTTAGTCTTGGGGTTGAACAGGGTCTCAGCCTGGATCTCGAAGCGTGTGCGGCCGTAGGGGGAGTCCTGGGGGGGCTTGCCTGTGTTGAACTCTGTGTTGCAGCTGAAGTAGAGGCCCTCCAGCTTCCCGCTGATAGGTGAGCCGTGGCTTCCACTGTTGTCCTTCACTGCTGGCAGCATGCGGTTCCCATGCACCTCCCTGGAGAGGAGACATGGACAACTATCTGAGTAATCACTATACTATAAGTTATTACAATGAATGTATCATCAATACAACCAGGGATTTGGGTAGCAGCTGGATCCTATTGAAAGCTTGTCTGTGTCTCTTGACAATGCAAACAACGTGTTCAGAAAGGCTGCATTTCAGAAAAACAATGAGTAAAAAGACTCATCTAGTATAAAAACGAATTGCTCCTCAGTTCTCTTACTGGCAAACAGACGTTTCTTTGCCCCCTAGACAGAACTCAGACAACAACAAAAAACAGACAGACATGGATTGTATTCGGAAAGATCTCAAATGAATAGCAGAAACTTGAAAGCACCTTCTGAGGTTTAAATTGGCAGTCAGATTTCCTATGATGCAAATCTGAGCTCCAATGGCTTCAATTATTGGCGTAATTACATTGGTAACACTTTAAATGTTGTCATTATAACCATAATTGTCTCTTTGTCATGGTAACTATCTAATTATTAAGGTCCCATCCAGGTCATCATAGCAAAGGCCTCATTTTACTGTCACTGGGTGTATTCTCCGAGAGATTAAGCCATTTCGTAGAAATGAAAACTAGAGAAGATAAAACTAGAGAACAGAAAGTGCTCCTATCTCCGAAGAAGAAAAAAATACATAATCGCTTAACACATCAGCAAACAATTAAAAATACTTCTCTCCTCTCTGTCTCTCTCAATCTTGCTTTCCAGTCAGGTGCTTTCTACACACTCAGCTTCCTCTTTCATCAGAATATACTTTAAAAGGCTTTGCTGTTCCAGGCACAGCTCTTTTTCTTCATGTATTCCAGCAATTAAAGCTGCTACGTTTTAAGACTTTGGTCCAACGCATGCAGTCATTGGGGAGGTCATTTGTTCCAGCAACATATGCGCACATGGGAACCAAAAAAATTATACTTAGCTTGTGCAAGCTGCTGTTTTATAAAATAGTAATTCAGAGGTTTCCTGACCATGTTACTCTTCTAGTTCAGAATGCAGCAAATCCTATAAGTAAACAAATATCCGGAACTGCTGTTTTACCCAAATATAAATCTGCTAACCCAGGTACTTTATTTTTTGTATGACGCAATGTAAGCAGAGTTTTTTAATGGATTTGGAGACCGTTTTTTGCAATAATACCTTTCTGTTGAGCTTAGACTAACTCCCCAAATACAGAACTAGACCTACACATGCACAGCCTATAATATCTGAGTATATACAAAAATTCATAAAACCATAACATCTGGACCACTGCCTTTGAGCTTTGAGAAAAGCATATGACAATTTCAGTAACAAGGGAAGGAGGTACAGCAAAGGGTCATGTATTACGTGATTTTGCTGTATTATACATTTTTTTACATACAGTATCATAACGTCAGAATAAAACTTGTGCTGGCTGTTAGGGCAGTTGTGCAGACGTTCGTACGTACCTGGCCTGGTCAAAGTACTCTTTGTTCTGGTTCCTGTAGAACACAGAGAAGCGCAGCATCCTGCCTGCAATGACCTCAGCCTTCTCCAGCAGCTGGGTTAGATGCACTGTGGAATAATCTGGAAACAGGGGTTAGGATTAGCCCTTAGCCATATATGAGAGAATACATAACGTAGGCCTACATCAAATAAAGATAGAATGTTTTAGGGATAGGCCTAACATTTTTTTTGTTGCTAAAAGCTTTGTATCCCTGTCCCTCTTCTGCCCCCTGCCTTACCAGCGGTGGTGAACTCGATGATCTCGCTCCACTCTGACACGGCGTAGTCTCCGTCACTCTGTTTGGAGGCAGTCTGGACAGCCACGGTGTACTCTGTACGCGGGCTGAGGAACCAGTGACCCCTCACCGTCATGGGCAGAGGCACTGCCTTCGCCACCAGCTTAGTGGGGACATCCTGGACAGGGACACAGGCAGAGAGAGATTAAACTCAACATACAAAAAGTTTACAACTCTACATACAAAACACAAACTCTGAATCAACACATTATTCACTGTTCAGCTGCACAAGCAACATATCAGCAGTGGCCTCCTCATTGATACAGTATATTTTAATGCCACGCACACACCAAAACACAAAATCAGCATTAATACACTGCTTAGTGTTAACGGCCCAGTGCAGTCAAAAACTTGATTTTCCTGTGTTTTATATATATATTTCCTCCCTACGCGGTTGGAATAATACTGTGAAATTGAAAAAATTATGATAATGCCCTTTTAGTGTAAGAGCTGTTTGAAAAGACCACCTGAAATTTCAGCCTGTTTTGGTGGGATAGAGTTTTGGTCTGCCTGGTGACATCACCAGGCGGTAAATTAGTTAATATACCAATTAGAGAGTCCCAAACCTCTCGGCCAATAACAGCTAGTTTTCAGTTTTCCCCTCCCAAGTCAGACCACTCCCAGACAGTACTAGTGTCCCCCCGTGTAGCTCGGTTGGTAGAGCATGGCGCTTACAACGCCAGGGTTGTGGGTTCGTTTCCCACGGGGGGCCAGTTTGAAAATGTATGCACTCACTATCTGTAAGTCACTCTGGATAAGAGCGTCTGCTAAATGACTAAAATGTAAAAATGTACTAGCAAAATTCTTGCTTGAGAAATTGCTCTTTGCTAAGAAGCTATTTCTGTTTATTTTTGACCATTTTAATTGAAAACAATCACAGTAAGGTACTTCATTGTTTCCCAGAAATGATTTGATATTGAGAGAAGAAACAGCTGAATTGGACCTTTAAGCTGCATGAACGACATGTATAGACTCCTGTGGCGTTCCCCTTCCCCCATCTCCACAGTATAGCCTAGTACTATACTTCCTATATCTATGCATTAGCAGGACATAGATTGGGCCCACCCTGCAATATTACACCAGCCCTGTATAGCGACAACAGCAGTACATTAATCCACAACATCATCCCTGCGTGCTGTAATGAAAGTAAATGCATTCGATCTATATTCACACAGAGAATGGGAAGAAAAACACTTCCTTTGGGAGGGCTTTTATGTTCACTACACCCAGAATGTGAATGGGAGCTGGGAGACTGATGAAATAGATCTGCAAAATCTTACATTAGATCCATTAGATTAAAGGCTGAAACAGCAGCCATATTTGTGCAATTAGTCTCTGCTAGCGCTGTGTGATATCGTTAATGCTCAGAGCTAAATCTATTAGAATACAAAAGGTTCCCTGGTGTTAGAGAGTGTGTGGGAGTGTTAGTTCTACTTCTGAACTCTGGTAAAAGGTTATCTATCCTTTGTTTACATTTAGATTTTAGTAATTTAGCAGATGCTCTTATCCAGAGCGACTTAGTTAGTGCATTCATCCTAAGATAGCAAGGTGGGACAACCACAGTCATAGTAAGTACATTTTTCCTCATTAAAGTAGCTATCAGCAAAGTCAGAGCTAGTAAGGGCGGGAAAAAGTCAAGTCCGAGTGTTAGTTCACCCAAAGAAATGGTGTTGTATTATTTCAGATACTCTTTGTTTACATACTTATTACGCCTGTTACACTACTTGTTTGGTGTATAAAGGTTATGATGTGGGTACATACTGGTTGGTGTTATAGCTCTAACTAAAGAACTTGCCTCATCATGTAGAAATCATTTTATAGACAACTTCCTGCTCTAGGGAGAGATGGAGGAGCTCTTTGGGGGTTTAGGCTGGGTATCTAAAGAACTGCTGATGTGAAAGGGGCTTTCTAAAATACATTTGATTGATTGTATTATAAACTGTGAGTTATTCCTTTGAAATAGCCTAGTTGTTGTTGTGTGTGTGGTAATAGGTTACCTTGTGTTTGAACTTGTTGGAGTTCTTGTTCTCTTTCTTGTTGAGGTCGATGAAGTAGTGAGTGATGCGCTCCTTGACCCGGGGCTCCATGTCCCAGCAAATCTTGAAGGAGTCACATGTGATGTTGCTGATCTTGATGTTCTGAGGGACAGGAAGCTCCTCCATCTCTACGATGCCGCTGTCCTGGGATTTATTGCCTGAGGCACAGGGACAAAAGGATTGGTTTGGCTTTAATGCTTAAGGAGATGAGAAATGCCTCTATAATATTTCACAATTTAGAGAACTACTGACATTTCTTTTTTTGAGACAGCAAATACATAAGATACGGCCCTACAGTTCCCTATAGGGAGCACTTACAGCACTCAGCTGCCTCTGTGCTCTGTGGAGCATTTACCAAAGAGCAGGGAGCGCCACCGTGTATCTGTTGTCATGGCAACGCTGCAATCCCTCAGTTTACAAGCACATATGGTATAAAATATTTAAAACACTGATGATTATAGTGACTCAACCCAACACAGATGGATCTCTTAATAAAGCCTCACTTTTTTCTTTCATGGAGGACATTTTTCTTTTGTCACACACAAAGAAAATGAAAGTAGATAGTAGATTGCTCTGATAAGCCTTTTGTTCAGGGTTTGTCAGACCATGTTCCTCAGTTTCTAGTCCAGCACTCCCTATTTTGAGCAGGTGTGTGTGGCAAGGACTGGACAAATTCACAATTTCCTCACTAAATACATGGTCAGACACCTTTTGCTGCTACAGAATGTCTACGTGTTCATGAAAATGTAATAACACACACACACACACACACACACACAAATACAAATAGCCCTATACACCAAAACAAGTGAGTGAATAAGAGCTTTGTAACATGGCCATGAGAATCCACTACACACTAAAACCTACTCAAGGCATGGCAACAATGTGTTTTCTGTGCAAGCTCTAAATACAGGAACTAGAATGTTGAATTCCGGGGTAATACACAGGACTCAATAAACAATGGGAAAAGCAGCGGACCATGGAACGCCTATCTCTGACCATGAGTTCTGAGGCGGGATGATAATTGAGTAATTCCACAAATTGGGTCATATGGAGTTTTTACAAAACATATCAACTATATCATACTGAGGTTATTGAACTAGGCATGCAAAAAAATGGGTTTCTGTCAAGGGGCATTTTCCAACAAAGTTGTCTGCTCTGTGCTTAACAAACGTATCTAATCGCTAGGCTACCTGCGAACACTGGGTTGAGAGAATGAGGTGTTGGCCAACAGCAAAGCACAGAGTAAAACCCCAACCAGATTTTGGATGGCTGTTTAGCACCCATCCAACACAGCCCAAGCCACTGTGCCAGAATGCTGACTTAGCTCTTCAGCTGTTTACACTAATCCCACCTCATTAACCTACAAATAGAGGCATTACACTGACACTGGCATGGTACTACGAGTGTGATAAAGGTTGTCTCCTCTAGCTATCTTAAGATGAACGCACTAACTGTAAGTCACTCCGAATAAGAGTGTCTGCTAAATGACTAAAATGTAAAATGTAAGCCTGACTAATGCTGTCAACGTTTGCCCACATAACAGCATTTCAAACTGCTTTCGTTAGCCTATAGCGATCTAATCACACAGAATTAGGCCTAGGCCTAGTATGACTAAACTGTGATCCTGCTGTGCTAAATTACTCAAAATGTGTGGCAAATTATGTCCAACTAAAGGGACACACACAGCTCGCTAAAATATGATACCTTTGTTTGTAAATAGGCTGATATCAGTAGGTAGGTACTTGCTGAGCCATATTGGATTATTGTACACTTACTAAAAGGGTACCAACTAGTCAACCATTGAATTAAGTAGGCTATTTCCTCCTGACAAATAGGCCTAAATGCATGATCCTTTTGATGTGATCCATCTTCACAGTCTGTGGAGCTTCTTTACTTTGTCTGGCAAGAAGGATACATGGGAGCAGGAGGAGAGGGTCAGGTGGTGATGGGGCCTCTTCGCACAGAGGAGGTCTGACAGACAGACAGTGTTTGACTCAGCAGCAATATCAGCTCCTTCTGCCTCCTCTCCTAAGGCCCTCCTGTGTGGCTGCAGTCTGCTCAGCACTGGACCTAGATTCACTACACAAAAGCTACTGGTAAATAACCCTTCTATCTGTGACTACACTGTACAGTCCAACAGAACATCACTCAAACAGCCTCTAGAAATGTAAACACAATCCAGCCCATGTAGTCCCGGCCTAGAAGATCCTAGTCCCAGTCAAGGTGAAGGTGAGTCCATTGGTTTAATTCAAATGAAAACGTAGAGCTAGGTATAGGGCTAACGTTATACATGGAACAACTTGCAGGAAATATGCCCATCCCCCAAAAAGGAAATGTGATGGATTTCGTATGAACATTTGCCCTCCAAGGTATGACAGTTAGCTAGCTAAATCAGAATGCAAGAAAGAACATCTACTTTTCAACCCTATTTTTTTTTAACCTGTTTCCACAAACCAATGAAGCAATGCAGGCGGCAGGCCAAGCTAAATTGGGCAGCTAGCTAGCTTTCTGCTCCAGTCCGGATATGTAAGGAAGTAGGTAAACATACGAAATAGATACCCAGCAGCATTTACACTAAACTAGCTAGCTAGTGGGTCGGGTCCCACTAACGGACTATAAACTTTTATTGTTTTACCTCTATATTTATGGGGAAATGTAACAAGGTCGCGCTTGTTAGCTAGCTAGCCATTTGCTATCAAAGCACGTGCACGGGTAGGCCTACTCAAATTAGTTATCAAAGTAACAAATACGCTATTTCCGTTTATCAGAAGTGCAGTCATTTACCCCGCAGCTACCAAGCTTGTGGCACACTCGAGTTTAGAGCAAAACACTTTTGCATGCAATAAAGAAGGTAAAGCCAGAGAGCTGGGCCTCCAAAGTCAACTGTATGAGACTACTTTTTAAAGAGATTGATACACAATTCCAGGATACTTTTATGCTGGGTATCTGTAAAGCACTTTGTGACAGATACTGATGTAAAACGGGCTTTATAAAATACATTTGGCTGATTGACTTTGGGGCAGCAAGGGAACAGCTGCTGCGATCTGTTGTTGCTGAAGTGTGGCACCTACTCCATAGCTAGCTAGCTAACGTAGTTATCAAAGTAACACATTTCCGTTTATCAGAAGTGCAGTAACTTACCCCTGGGGATCCTTGTCCACCTGGGGATACCTGCCTACCTGGGGGAGATCCCTGTCCATCTGGGGATCCCTGCCCACATGGAGATACCAACCAACATGAGGTGGCCCATACATGCACTGTCTAGTATTTCTTCAGCACCCCAAAGAATAGATCTGTCTTGGCTGATATGTACATGTAGACCTATATAACATACGTTTTGTGTACGTATGTATTGTGATCAGCAGCATGCTCTGTCTATCTGTCTATACATCTAAACTCGTATAATTTCTATCTTCCCTGTGTCTCACTCTCTGTCTGATCTGGGGCAGTATGTATTTCCCGTCGCCTCCTCATGCCACTGGCCCTGAGCCACACTACTTGGTGCTGTTGGATACCCAAGACCTGCCTGCCTGCTGCTGTGGGCCATCAGGCTCCTGAAGAGAGAGGGGAAATCATCATGGTGAGAGCACATCTGTCAATAAATGGGTAATGATGGACAATACACAACAGTTATATCCCCTCATTCATTTCCTGTCTTGTCCTGTTGCTTAGTATCTGATTTTTTTTTTATTTCAGGTGTTTTACATAGTAGTAGAACTTGGTGGGGTCAGCAGAACCAAGGGATGGTTGCACCTGCCTCTCTCTTTCTGCCATTGGAAGAAGAGCACTACTTACCGCCGTTGCTCCACCTTCATTCTATGGATGTGATTGTTGGTTGTTGCTGTTATTTTTACTTTTTCAATCATCTGTTTGTGTTCACTATTCATTTGAAAAAGGTTGCTCAATTGAATGTTTGAATTGATGTTCTATATAAAAAAATATATAGAAAATAAGTTCATAAATATTTCTAAACCCCAAAACATAACTATTATACGGTGTAGTTATACAGTACCAGTCAAAAGTTTGGACACACCTACTCATTCAAGGGTTTTTCTTTATTTGGACAATTTTCTACATTGTAGAATAATAGTGAAGACATCAAAACTATTAAATAACACATATGGAATCATATAGTAACCAAAAAAGTGTTAAACAAATCAAAATATATGTTATATTTGAGATTCTTCAAAGTAGCCACCATTTGCCTTGATGACAGCTTTGCACACTCTTCAAATCAAATCAAATCAAATGTTATTGGCCACATGCGCCGAATACAACAGGTGCAGACATTACAGTGAAATGCTTACTTACAGCCCTTAACCAACAGTGCATTTATTTTTAACAAAAAAGTACAAATAAAACAACAACAAAAAAAGTGTTGAGAAAAAAAAGAGCAGAGGTAAAATAAAATAACAGTAGGGAGGCTATATATACAGGGGGGTACCGGTGCAGAGTCAATGTGCGGGGGCACCGGCTAGTTGAGGTAGTTGAAGTAATATGTACATGTGGGCAGAGTTAAAGTGACTATGCATAAATCATTAACAGAGTAGCAGCAGCGTAAAAGGATGGGGTGGGGGGGGCAGTGCAAATAGTCCGGGTAGCCATGATTAGCTGTTCAGGAGTCTTATGGCTTGGGGGTAGAAGCTGTTGAAAAGTCTTTTGGACCTAGACTTGGCACTCCGGTACCGCTTGCCGTGCGGTAGCAGAGAGAACAGTCTATGACTAGGGTGGCTGGAGTCTTTGACAATTTTGAGGGCTTTCCTCTGACACCGCCTGGTATAGAGGTCCTGGATGGCAGGAAGCTTGGCCCCAGTGATGTACTGGGCCGTACGCACTACCCTCTGTAGTGCCTTGCGGTCGGAGGCCAAGCAGTTGCCATACCAGGCGGTGATGCAACCAGTCAGGATGCTCTCGATGGTGCAGCTGTAGAATTTTTTGAGGATCTGAGGACCCATGCCAAATCTTTTCAGTCTCCTGAGGGGGAATAGGCTTTGTCGTGCCCTCTTCACGACTGTCTTAATAATAATAATAATAATAATAATATGCCATTTAGCAGACGCTTTTATCCAAAGCGACTTACAGTCATGCGTGCATACATTTTTGTGTATGGGTGGTCCCGGGGATCGAACCCACTACCTTGGCGTTACAAGCGCCG